TGGCTCGCCACCCTCAACCCCGAGGGTGACTGCCCTTTTCTTTAGAGGAACTCTGTGTGTTTGCCTTTTATAGGGAGAATAAAACCTCCCCTCCCCCCCGGTATCTTCACTCTCAGATTGCTTGCTAAAGGAAAAAGAAAAACTTGTTTTCCCGGATATTTCTTGGCTTGGACAGAGCCATAGCCGTGATTAATTATTCAGGCTTAGATGAATACAACAAACAACAGCTGAAAAACCAAAAAAGCCAACCCACCCCGTGCAGACATAGAGAGGTAAAGCACAGCTATGTGTATCTGTCAGTTGTCATGTAGCAGTTCTGTATAGTACTGACAATGTTGATTTCATGCCTCTTTTTATGTAGTCAAGTGCTGCCTCATTAGCTATTAACCCTGGTGGAATACATTTGCAAGAATTTCAAGGTCTTCTGAGGGACACCAGAACAAGCAATGTCTTTAAACCATGAGCAAGTGCAGGGTGTATGGATAGCCCCGGTACTGTGAACGTAGGTAGTATATATAATTATTCAAATCAAAGTGGGTTTGATGGTTCTATTTGGGAATGAGCCTAAAATAGAGAAGAGCAGTTGGAGGCAGAGATGTTGAGGCTAGGATTTCAGAAAAGCTGCTGTGCATAAAAGCGAGTTATTTCTGATTTTAATATCACCTCTGCGCCTACCTACTGCTTAATCTCAGTTTCACCACAGCTCTCCCTTCTTTAGAGTTAGTCTTAACTGAAAACTATTATGTAACAGGCTCTGTTTTTTATGATGGTCTTAATTAAAGACTGTTGTGCCGTCATGAGAAGTGATTTGAAGATTAGAAATGTCCTGAGAAACATTTAGCTGAACCTTTTGAGACAAAACTTTACTCCAAAAGTAAGATGGAACCCACCTTTACATCTCATGTATGAATGGCTACTGAAAGATTGCAGTTGTTATGAGCGTGTGTTTCCAAAGTTAACTCTGTCACAGGCTTCACTAGAGCAGTTCAGTTTTACTGACTGCTATTTGAGATGTCTAAGTCAATATTTCTCTGTATCTCAGTGCTTTCTCCTCCTTTGCAGTCATTTTCAGACATAAGTTAATTATAAACCACTCTGAGTTAGGATAAAGCTGAGTGTAGGTGGTAAAAGCTGCCTGAAAGACCTGCAGACAGTTGGATGGCTAGTCTTGAGCTTTTGACTGCTGTGGTTGGGCTGATTAAAGTATCTTCCACTTTGCTTGGTAAAACAAAGCACAGTTCTTTACTTGTTTGCACAAGCACATCCAGAGTGAGGAATCGTTTTTGTTTTTCCCATAAATATGTTTCCAGCATTTCATTCTTTATTGGGCCTTCCAGATGTAAGATAGAGGCTGTCAGTGGGGCATCACCAACTTACACTTACTTATAAACTTCATAAAATCTCTTTCCAAAAGGCAGGAGTTAAACAATGAACTTATGGGAAGGTGATTTTACCTGCTTTGTATGTCAGCTGGTGATAGGTGCAACGAGACGCTTCAATCTACACAAGGAAGTTCTGCGACTGCGGCAAGGGGCAATGGAGCATGCCTCACCTGATAGGAATGCTGTAAATTGTTTGCCCTCATGAGAAATGCAGTTAAGATTTGGCTGAGTTCTTACATTTGCTGTTAATAGAAGTGTCCATGTTGCCTTACTGACCTCTAAAGCAGCACATGCGGTCAGTGGCCTAAGTGAGACTTGAGGAGTACAGGTGTGAATGAAAGGAAGACACAGGGTGTGTCCCCTCTCCCTGTGTCTCCACTCTTGGCTGGATACAGCATCTCTGTTGGCATAGGTGTACACCTACCCATTCTGACTACTAGGTGCTGCACCATCTGGAGGGCAACTGGAATAAAGAACGAGCCAGTGTCAGAAACACGTTTCTTCAGAAGCTCACAAAACACAAACACGTCTACTGGCTTATGGGTAAACCAAGGTGCTAATTGCCAGTGGTTGTAAAACCCTTGGCTGGATGGAGAACTGGGAGCTTTCCTGTAAAGAGTGTGGAGTACTTTCAGTGGAATTAAAGTGTTGTCATTGCAGTCGTCTGCATAAAGCTTTGTGGTATTTTTCACATTTGCATCACACATTTTGAAATGTCTGCAAAAACTTTGAAATTAGGGAACTTAGCAAAAGAACCAAGAACATGCATAGCAAGTCAGAAATATCCTGCATCAACCTGTAGCTGTTAGGTGGATGCCCAGATGTGAGCTGTTCAGGACAACACAAGTATATGTTAAGCTTTACTGCAAACATGATACTCTTCCAGTTGTCAGCTATGCTCAACCCACGGGCTTTCCTGTGTTGAGAGATCCTCAGTATGTGCTCTGCCACAAAACATTTGGTATGTACTTGAAGTCTTATAGGTAATTTAGGCATGTCCACATTTTATGTACTGTTTTTATATGTCAAGGGTTTTCTTGTTGAGATTAATACTTTGGTATCTCAAGATAATAATATCCCATACTTGGTGTACTTAGGTAGACAGGGAATACCAGGTCATCTGTGGAACTGAAGGAGACCCTAGAGCTGATGGAAAGATGCACCTTGGTTAGTTGTTTTAGTACTAGTACAGATTCAGTGGCTTTAACATGGTTTAAGTGCATGAAGGCTGAGGTTTTAAGACATTGATGTAGGAAAAATACTGCAGTCACATCCCTGCAAAAGTTGTGCAGACAAGTTTTGGTTTGAAATTCCTCTATTAATTGGCGTTTTTAAAAGTCAAAATCCTATTTGTCTGTGAGGCTTCTGTGTGACAATCTAGTACTGCTTATGTGGCAATTACTTGGTCATTTCATGTATGGTTTGTGGTTTTTGGCTGTACAATCAGCTGTTCTGACCTCTGGACTGATGCAGTGTTTCTGCTGTCTGTAAAGGTGTGTGGCAAGTATTTTGCAGGTGCTGTGCCTGGAGTCCTGTACAGCTAGTTTGTGCAGACTCCTGACATTTGCAGCTACTTGCTTGCAGTTCTTCTGCAGGGTTTTCCTCCCTTCCCCACCTCCTTTGTGTGTTAATAAATTTAGATTTGGATCTCTCTAACTTTAAAGAAATGATGCAAATTGGTTTTGGTAGTGCTTCATTTGGAGAAAATGCAGTGATTCTCAGAGAAGATAGAGGTTGTTATAGTTAAATCCTTTTACTGCTTTATAGTAAATTGTTTGCCTTGCTTTTAAGAGCTGCCACGCATTCAGCACATGGTACCTGGTCCCAAAGTTCAGGCTGGGCTTATGGGAAGGATTTCGCCACATTTTCTGCAATTCTTTTTTAACATGGTGAACCAAAAAGAGTACCATTTAGTTGGTGAAAAGAAGAAAGAAGTTTTATTCCAAGTTAAAAGGGAGGGAGCTCTGTCATTAAAGTCTTACCGTTTTGTTTCTTTCCATGCTGGTGCTCATGCAAATTTATTGAAAAACAGCACCACCATGCCATCAACCTCCTAGTCCTACAGCTTTTCCATTTAAACTGTACAGATTCCTAGGGTCATGCCTCCTGGAACAGCAGTAGAAAGTCAGGTATGTGGTGGCTCAGTTTTGGTGTAACTCAAGAGGAAATGTTGGCTGTATTTTGAAACACGGTGGATTTGTCCACCTTATGTAGGATTAGTTATTTGATCATATTTCCCTTAGGCTGACAGAACTGGAAGTTACCTGTTCTCCAGGGAATGCAATTGGTATTTTTAATGTACACCCACACCCCTGCCCCCCTGTTTTGTCTAGAACTTAATGATAACCACCAATGTGTAGTGCAAGAGATGTCATTGCTTGTATGTGTATTTGTATTTAGGTGTCCAGTAGAAACCTTGAGTTCAGATTTTTATTTCCCAAGCTTTGGTGGAGCTCAGACAAGAATTCAAAGCCTGAGCATGCACATCCAGCATATCTGGAGGTCTGCCCTACTCCTTGTTGGGTATGATCCTGCAGGGTTGAAGTATATTTATAGGGTGTAGACAACTCATCAAGATCCTGTGCAGGTAACTGAGTTGTTAGTGATGACTGTCCCTTTAGATTAAGCTCTCATTGTGGGAGACATAGAGTCTTGGACGTTTAAGTTAATAATGTATAAAATAACATAAACAGCTTTTTCTCCCTTTAAGAAATGTTTTCGATTGCTCAAGTTTTAGGACAATAGAAAACCCTAGCATAAAAAAAATGGGCAAAATTCATACATTTTGGAGCACGGATGATTAATATCTTGTTTCTTAGTGTTACATGTTACCTCAGGGTTTGGTTTAATTTTCTTTGTTGAAGAATGAATGGGGTTTATTTTCTACCTCTTTGGAAATATGACCGACACTAATTCTGTGGTTTCTTTTGCTCCCTATAGGCTGGCTCCGATGCGATTGTATACACTGTCCAAAAGGCATTTTGTTTTGGTCTTTGTAGTATTCTTTATTTGTTTTGGTCTGACAGTCTTCATAGGAATAGCAGGTAAGGATGTTCTCTTTTTAAAAGATTCTCATATACTTTGTCTAAACCTGTTGGTATTTACAGGGGTATTTAAATGCTAATGAGCTTACTGCTCCTGAGATGTCTGAGGAAGCATTAGAATTGACAGGGACAGGGAAGTGTTTCTTCCATCTCACTTCTTCATAGGACTACTATCTACAAAGACTTGGTATTTGCAACTGCTTTGCAGGGGAGAGCCGATAAAACGAGACAAAAGCAGCTTCATTGCAACATAATTTTTCAGCAGCCTGCTACATTAGCCGTTTTTCTTTGTATTTCTATCTGTAAAATGGTAGTGCTAGTGATTTCCTGTGAGGAAACTGAGGAAGGTGTTTGTAAAGCCTTCTAAATGTTTGGGTGATAAGTGCCACAGAAATACAAAATATTTTGGTGTAAAAATATGAACTTCAGTTGTCAAACATGTATGAGCTTAGGTCTCTGGTTTCAGAGATCTTTTTGAGAGTCCTGACGTGACCTGGGAGGCTAAGCACATAGTGCCTGGGTACTCAAGCTGGAGATCAGAGAGATTTGTGGTAGTCTGGTGAACAAAGATGCAGTGTCACTAAGGAGTTGAAAAGCTTGGGACCCTTCTTTATTTCATGCTGGAAAGCTTTTCCAGGGCTAGAACATATTTGAAAAATAAGTCTGTCTGCTCTTCTAGCAGTGTTAAATAAACTAGTACTCTGCTGTCAGGAGAGCTTTAATCAATACAGAACTTAAGTGGTGGGGAGAAGGGGAAGGAGGGACTGATACTCATTAAGCAACCCACCCCCTATATAAGAATTACTTTAGGTTGTTACCATCTTCCTCTGCTTTACTGCTGACTTCTAAATCTCTCAGCATGTCCAGTGTGTTCTCCTGTGCCCCTCTCTGACACTTTTTGACCTGTCTGTTGGGTTGTCTCTATCTCTGCCCTGTCCTTCACTTCCTTTAGAGTGAGAAGGACTGCCCAGGCCTGGGAGCCATCCAGTCCTACCTGCCTTGGAAAGAAGGGTGGGCTATTTGGAGGCAGCTGTTTGGGCTTTTATGCCCACCTGTGCCTTGTAGGCAGTATGTTTTTCATAATATCCTTCAATAATAAAATTTGTCTGTGAAATAAAACCTTCTTTCCTGCTGTTTGATTTATTAGAGCCACTGAAAGTCTAAAATAGGCTTTCAGTTCATAAAGGTTAACCACTGATATTCCTGTCACTTGCTGAAGGATGCTGAAGGGCATTTGGCCACTAAAATACTGCATAAATACATTCGCAAAAGTGCATTTTATGACAAAGGAAAAAAAAATTATTTAATTTAGTGTAATTTGGCTATTTGGCTTTAAAATTGAACCATATTTGTAGTTGTGTACTTACACGTCCAGGTTGCAAAAAATGAAAGTTGTCTTATGTGAGACTAGGCAAAAAGCAGTGCTTCTGGAAGGGAAAATTGAGTGTTTTGTTCTTAATCAGTAGCAGAACCTGAGAGGGAGCTGTGCTGGTGTATTGTGTCTGCAGGCAGAGTAATCTGGTGATATGGTTACCTTTGGCCCAGGGGACTTGGCTGCTGTAATCAAGCTCATCTGGACCATGCTGTGGTCCCGGGCCTTGCCTGTGATCCCCTTCAGGAGCTGGCATGGCTGTGGGATTCTTGTCCTTTTAAGATTGGTCTGCTGGATAGTTTGGCTGATACTGTTAATTATTATAGCTAGAATATTTTAAAAAGGATGCTGTTTACCTTGGGAGGAGACCCACTGAACAATTACTGTGATATTCCTCACGGCTTTTGTTGACAGCTGCTTGCTTCCTTTGAATAGAAGGAGGGGCCCTAACAACAGAATGCTGCCTCATTAAATGGTACAGTCTGAGAAAAGCTCACCAAACCCACTAAGTAAATGAAAGTGTGGAAGATACATCCGTATTTTCTGTGCTACTAAAATATGCCATTGCCCACACTCAACATCTATACCTGCAGTTGGGAAGCCTGGCAGAACTCTTGATTTTCATCTGAGAAATCAAGACAGTTTGATTGAAGATGGATGCTGCTCTTACAGTTCCTGTAACCCAAAACAGACACACTTGTTTGGTTTTTTTTCCAAGTTGCAATCGCTTTCCTTCTCTTTTCACAACAGGTCTGTCTTATCTTTGGGGTGAGACAAGTTCAAAGAAAATCCAAGGTCCAGAACTCATTTTTTGTATCTTTGCAGTTCATTACCTTAAGGTGGTTCTTTGCCTTCATCTGTTATTATGTTAAGTGATCAAAAAAAAAGAAAACCAATAACTATTTAAATTAGTCTCCATTTGTTAGTCAGGAAGCCACAGCATCATTTTGTTTCAAAAGCTTTTCACTTGCTAGAGAAGAATCAGTTACAGCACTAGAACTTCATTATTTGGTTGCTGTTCTTAAAAACTTTGACTGTGATTTCTCAGTCCCAATATTGGTTCATATCTTCCAATAAAAAAATAACCCTTAAAAAAGGCTAATTCTGTTTGTTTCATCATGACTTAATTACTGATATGTGGTGACTTACCATTTGTGAACACCTAGTGAAACTCAATTATGCTTGTTAAAACAACATATGCCTTTCAAAAATCTGGTTTATATGTACTTCAGAACGGAACAGTTCAATGATGCAGAGCAGACTTTTTAGTGGGTGGCTGTCAGTGATGTTGTGCTGCAATTCTAATATGAAATTCTGGCTGTGATGGCAGAAATTCTTAATTTTTCTTTTTAAGTTAATAACAATAAACCTAAGTTAAGTTAATAACGATAACCCTAACCCTATCCCTATTAGGGTTATTATTGTTATTAGAGCAGTTGTAGGAGCCCAAGCAGTGCTGCATGTTTAGAGCTGTCATGACAGCTAACCTGTCTTGGACAGTGATTCCATGGTGCTCATTTATAAACTTCTTCTTTTGCATTGTTTCTCTGTAGTAACTTTGAAGTGTTTGGTCTTTATGAGAAAGTGCTTTTATTGCGTAATTTTTATAATACTGAGTTTGTGATTGAAAGAGCATATTTTGAGGGTTAAAAAACTCCATTAAGTTGCCAGACCAAATACATACAGGGAGAGACCATTTGAACAGAAGGATTCACAACATGAACACACAGATCTTTTCCTACTCTTCCCTGTCACTTTCCTGGTTTAGTCTTTTCGTGTTTTGTGCGCATAAAAACATGTGTGCTTTCCTCTTGTCCTCAATATCCCATGCTCTTTCATACTGAAGGGGAAATTGTACTGCTGTTTGGAACCACCTTATCAGGGGCTGCACAGAAGATGGGGCTTTTCTCAGAGTGCAACACAAGCCGGAACACAAGAAATTCCAGTTAGATATTAGAACATTTTTCTTACCATAATGGTGGTTAAATACTGGAATAGGTTTCCTGGACAGGTGGTGGGAGTCTCTCTCCTTAAAGATGTTAAGGACTTAAGTGGACATGTCCCTCAGCAGCCTGCTCTAATTAAGCAAGGGAGTTCTGTAGCTGAGTGCTTTCATGACTGCATTCCCATAAAATCTTGGGAGATATATATACATGTATAGATAGATACATATATAGATATATATGAATAAAAAACTACTACTAAAATTGTAGTACTTTAAACTACACATTCAGGGCTTTTGACGTGGAATACTTGATTTATAATTTACTTTATGTAATAATGCATAGAAACACTATGGCAGAGATGCTTAAAGGAACATGCAGGTCAAATTTATAAATTATATTGAAATATATATACAAGTGCTTTACCCTTTATCTGAAATATCTGGAAAGTGGAATACTATTTATGAAAGCCTATATTTACATCATCACTCATATGTATGCTTCAATATTATTTTCTTTCTTCCTTCTTATATATTGTGTAGGTCCTAATGTAATTGAAACTTCTGTAGCAAGAACTGACTTAAATAACAGCCTGAAGGTAAGAGTTAATAAACATTGTTAGATTATATGAATGGCATTATTTGATGTTAGTAATATTTAATGTTTCCCTCCTTCCCCCCAGTTATTTTAAATATTTAAGCTTTTACTGCAGAATGTGCTTTCCAGTTTGAAGCTGAATGTGCAATATTGTACTACCATTGTGTTACTCCATGAATAGCCCAGGAGCAATTCCTGGTCTCTTACTGTTGTGAGCAGGTCGGGTAGAGATTTCTCGTATGTTTCTGCACAGCAGTTTCTGATAAAGAAACATGTGAGTTTTTCCCTGGTGAATTAATATTGGAGATTCTTGTAGGGGGTTCAGAAACAGAAATTGAGAACATGCATTGAAAAACAATGCACTCAGTGGCAACTAATGCTATCCCTCTTGTGATTTTTCCCTTTCTATCATAAAGAAATATTTCTTGTTAATTGTTCACTATCATGTGACCGAGACATGGGATCTAGATTCCTCAGAGGAGCATTCACATGTTCTCAAATGCTTTCGTATTTTGGTCCTCAGTTCTTGCGTTTTTGTTTGTCTAGCTCTTCACTGTCAACCTAATATCTGAAGTATTTTTTGTGAAAGTGCAAAAAAGGTTTTGTTGTGGGTTTTTCCTTAAATTACATTTCCTTTAAATACACTGGGACAATGCTTTTGTTTCTTTTGCCTACCGGTCACCTGTATATGTTTGGATTGATACAGTACTGTGGGTGGATTTTATTTTTTTTAAAGCACATCTTGATTTCAAAGTTGAGAAGTCTTTCCTGTGTGTGGGTGTTATCTGTTAATGATACCTTTTATTCTTTAGAATTGAATGTGGGATTTTTTGAAAACCTAGTGGAAAATAGGGCTTTTTTGTAATTATTGTTTAACAAGTTTAAAACTGTGTAGCAGATGAAGGCCCACAAATCTGACTTTCGGTGTAAAGTGCTAAAAATTATTTTGTATATTCAGGCTAGGTCTCAGGATTTTGTTTTTAATATCTGAACTTTTGTATTTTATTGCTGCTGCTTTTATGGGGTTTAGGTAGTTGTACTTTTCCTTACTTCAGTGCTTTGCAAAATACATGTGCTGTTTAAGCTGCTTCTCTGGAAGACATGTGTGTGAGCCGCTTATCACGCTGTCCACAGAATAGCATGTATAAATCACTTCTCAAAAACATTGTCACAAGCATAATTAACATACCTTTCATCGTCTTAACTACAGATATGTCATGTAGCTGTGTAAAGGCTGGTGCTAACCTTGTGGGGTTTTTTACAGCTGAAGCCATTTAATTTAAGTTCGCCACCACTGTCAACTTACAACCAGCAGCTGTGGCTGACCTGTGTGGTTGAGTTGGATCAGCACGATGGTGAGAATCTGACCTAATTCTCATGAAACTGCTGTAGCAACCTGTCTGTTGTATCCTTAATTTTGTCACACACATGATCCTGTTGCTTTCTGGCTGTCCTTGGTGGGTTTTTCCTCTGATACGCTTTTCTTCCACTTCACTCCCTCCCTTGGTAAAGACATGGACAGCACTGATTGCATTGTAAGCAGCAGGAGTAGGGGAAAAGTTTTTTGTTAGTTTTGTGGAAACAGAAGTATCTAGATAATCTGTGCATTTCCTTCTTCATTTTGGGGAGAATTAGATGTGTAAATTGTAATGATACTGCTTTGGTACAGCTTCTCTGTGTATATGTGAGAAATACTGTATTAGTAATTACAAGATTGTAATTGCAAGTAATTACAATTACCAAGATTCAGTACAGGGCTTGAGACTTACTGCCTATGTATAAAAATACTGTAGCCCTAATCCAGTATAACTGGGTAAGTCTGAGTAGTATTTGGATAGCATATGTGTTTTAAATGATTTTAGAACTCTATTTGAGATTTAATTTCTACATGTAGCAACAGATGAATGTTTTCTGTTTTAATTCCAGGATCCCTCAAGAAGAATGTGACAATGACAGTCAAAGTCCTGGGAGTGGTGAAGGATGGAAGCACACCATACGTTAACAATCAAGTTCACAATCGGACGAGATTACTCAGTTGTGCTCAAGTATGCACTTGCTTAAACAAAACTCTGATGTAGTGTGTTTTCTTTAAATCTGTGTGCACCCTACTTTGCATTGCAAATAAGAATTGTACCTGTTGAACACAGATACAGTTTCAGGAAGGACTCCCCAGTTTTATTTATAATGGCAATGTAGTCAATAATTCTGACAAGACACCTGCCTGTACATCGTATTTCTGTTCACTTCTGTGACTTGTGTCTATTGCCTGTTAAAGACCGCTCTTTCTTGTTAGAGTTGCTCTTTGTCAGTAAAGCAGTGGGTCCTGTTCAGTCACCTAAACAGGTTTTGCAGTATTGAAGAAAGGGATATTGTAGCAGAAGATTTGATAAGGGGTTCCAGAGCAGAGAAAAATTCTTCTCCAACACTTGCAGAGTCTGCTTGAAATCAGCTGGCAACTGTGTTCTGAAAAAAACAGTTTTTTTGCCACTGTGAAGAAACGTTTGGAGATTCTAATGTAATTTTCACTGAAATATTTAAGCTTAAAGACATTCAAAACAGCTCCTCCAGATGCAAATCCTTTGGGAAGGACATAGCTGAAATTTTATGATAAGCATATATAATAAATCAAGTGTCTTCTTTTTATATAGATATATACACATATCTATGAAATTTTCAGAAATTAATTAGTAGTGCTCCATTAGATTTAATTACACAGCCAAGAGAGTAATATACTTGGTTTTTCTCTTTCCTCCTGTTAACTTTCAGAAATGAGTTAGTACGAGGTAGCCCCATCTCACCATCTTGAGTTAGTGACAAGAGTTATTTGATTCCATCCTGGTGCTGCGAGCAGTTGCTGTCACCAGCTCAGGTGAAAAGGTGGCACTGTTTAGTGTTTAGACACTGATCCACCTGACTGACTTTATCAAGTTTCTGCTGCTCTCTCCAGTATCTTTCAAGAAAGTCTTGATCAGGCTGATTGAGATTGGTGAGATATATGATAAATATCAATATGAGACCATTTAGGAACAAATTCTACAGCCTATACTAACAGTGCACATTCTGGAGTAATTTGAGGACTTTTATGTTTTTCTCTGTGTGTTCACAGAAATGCAGTGAAATCATTGTTGCTCACCTGGGCTACCTGAACTACACTCAGTACAACATATTTGTTAGCTTTGAAGATCTAAACAAGTTAACATACACTATCCAGAATATTACTTTCACAGTAAGTATAAAGGTTTATACTAGTAAAATAAGTCTCTTTAATGCTGTGGAAGTGTGCTTTAACTGTAACAAAAAAGTATCAGATTTTTGAAGATAAATAAAAAAACACATCTAATTATTTTTTTCTGTCACTACTAATGTCAGAGCTATTATAGCATTTATTGTTGATAAAGGTCTAGACCAATTTTTTAACTCTATAAGGAAAAAAAATTCTCTCAGAACTACTGCTCCTGTATTCTGTAATAGATAAATTTAGTCTGAATTCTGGGAGATATTTCTTACAATAATACTAGAATATCCAGTTTTCTGCATTTGCTTATAGAGATGCCTGTCTGCAGGATGGTATTTTTTTTTCAGCCTCTCCAGGAGGTGTATCTGAATGAGCAAACTTCTCCAGACTTTACAAAAGTATGGGTTGGAAAGGTTTAACTAATTCAAAGAAAACTGAAGAGTTATCTTTGGGGGGGCCTGTGCTTATGAAGAAGAGAATTTATATTTTTTTCAGATAACACAAGCAGGTTACAAAAATAATTCACTCAGATGATCTCCAGTGAAATAACTGTCTCAGTTAATAGTGCTAAAGATGGCTTATAAAGCACTTATATCATTTATATGTTTTGACTCCAGAGAGAAATTTAGAAACATTTGCATTGGGAGAAAAGAGAACTAAACAAAGTTTATAATACAGGTTAGGTCTGGTATATTTGCCTGTATATAACATTCAGTGTGTCAGAGCCAGTAGCAACCTCAAATCTTACTGTAAAGGAAAAAAAAATTAATATACCAAATTAACTTTCTAAATATTAATATTTTTAATAATCTAGTGCATAGAGCATGTAATTAAAATAAAGTTCTAAGGGGAAAAAATCCCTGAAGCTCACAAACCCTTTATTTAGTTCCAGATTTCAAACAGAACAAAGTATTGGGGCATTTGTAGTTGTACATTTTTTTATCTTGCTTTGTAGGCTGCCTTTAAGGCAGACCTTTATGCAGTCTCAAAAAAACCCCAACCCAAGCTTTCCTGCAGCAACTAAAATTGTCACATTTATTTCATTACAATTGTTTATGGTGATCTGACTTGAAATCAATGGATTGCCTTTTGTATAATAGGTTTCTCTACATGTAATTTTCGTTCTACATTTACAGTTTAAAAAGACAAGACAGAGGTTGACAGATTTAATACATTGAAAGGTAAAGCTTCTTGTTCAGATGAGCAGAGCATATGTTGTGCCAGGGAGCTTACATTTCAAAAATGGCTTCAGAAGCATGCCAGGTATGAGATAAATTGTCAACAGAGCAGAGTTTGTGAAAACTGACATGTTATAATTAATATCTATGCCCTTCTAATAATTAGAATAGGAGGAGGCTTTCCCCCTTAACCTATGTAAAGATTTCTGTCTTTCTAGTAAGCTACTTACCCTTCCTTTACATGATTTTCTCTCCTGAGATGAGTAAGTGAAAAAGAAAATAAACTCCTTACAGGAAGTACCCCTGTACCTTTCTGACTTCCTCATAATCAATTTGTACATCTGACCATGGTAGTACAGAAGAACACACTGGATTTACTCATTTATTTGCATTCAAACTGGTTGAAAGTGCAGTTGAGGAGACTATCCTATTTGTCCTGAGAGTGCTTTAACATATGACAGCACTGAGTATGTTATGAAGTGGCAGGATAAAAGAGAAGCAAAGGCTATTAGACTTCTTTGCTTATCTTTTTATCAGTCCTTTTTGATAAAACAATTTTTCCATGGAGACATAGTGGGATTTGGTTATACCTTTAAATTTTGAAAAGCCACAGAACTTTTCAGTATCTGCAATAAAGTGCTGATATTGATGTCATACGTAGTCTGTCAAAATACTACTCATTCTGTTTTCTTGTAGTGGAAGACCTATAATCCAACCTTTTCACAAGTGGAAATATGGTTCCGATTTGTCTTTGTCGTTCTTACTTTCATGGTCACGGTAAGATTTATTTGCAGTTTTTCTGGAGTTTATTATGTAGGCAGCTGATCCCACTGCTCTGTAATGCTGTGTTTAGGAACTTAACCCCAGGCAGTAAAGTTGACATGTCACTGAATGGGTGTAAAAACGTTTGTGAAATACTTACATAGTTGCTGCTTTTATGTTTTTACAAGTGGTATTGAAGGGACATTAAGAAAATAGGATAAATGGGAAAACTTGTTTTTCTAAACTCTGGGTTTGGATTAAACAGAAAAGATTTTGCTTAGGCAAAGGAAATTGTGATCAGATGCTAAAGAAAAGTATTTTTTTTGCAGTGTAGGTAGGCTCAGGAATAGGATGGCCAGAGTGTGGGCTGTTTGACCTTGATCTAGTATTAAAGTTATCACTGCCTTGCACATAAGGATGGGCTAGAATACCTCCAGAGGTCCCTTACAGCCTAAACTATGCTGTGATTTAGATGATATCTCCTCTCTAACCTGTCTTGGCTCCTTGAAAATAAGTGTTTGATAAAAAAACCCCCATAAAATTTAAAATCCTGAAATTTTAAGGGTAGGGACACCAAAGTGCTGCACGCTTCCATAGCATTTTTCTTGATGATGATGTTGCTCAGGTAATTGTGACTATAAAATGCAATCTGCTTTTTTAAAAAGTGTGTTTAAGTGGAACTTGATAGTGTGTTCTTTTTTTTTTTTTTTTTTTTTTTTTTCTTCCACTCATTGTTGATTTTTATGTACTGGGTGGTTCTCCGTTTGCTTGAGAAATTAAGTCATTTGCACCGGATCAGTGAGCAAACTTGAAATAGAAACTAGGAGACCTGGCTTCTGTTTGACAGTGTTCTCAGTGGCAAAGGCCTCGTGAAGTAGCCTTTGCAGTATGCTGTGCTCTCTCTTAGCTCTGGTTAAACCACTGAAGGCTGTATTCCTTCCTTACAAATTGTTGGTGTTGTTGTTTTATAGTGCCTGTTTGCACATTCCCTGCGGAAATTCTCCATGAGAGACTGGGGTATTGAACAGAAATGGATGTCCATCCTACTTCCTCTCTTGCTACTTTACAATGGTACTTGTATCCTTGAATGTATCCTTTTTAGAAAGGCACCTTTTTGAAAGAGAAGCAGGGAAAAAAAGAGAAGGCAAAATGGAATTTATCCTTGCACTTATAAGCAGTTTGTAAAGCTTAAAAAAAACAAATTTAAAAAAAAAACAACCCTTTCCAAGTGTAACAAATTCAAGGACATGAGGAGAGGGTGGATTTTGTTCTCAGTCACATGGATGTTAACTATTTTTTTAAAGCTCTGACTGGAATAGGTACTTGCCATGCTTAATCTTTCAGTTTTTTTTGCTGTCTTATTTCTTCATTTTTCAGATACTCATGCTTTAGTTAAAAATGCAAGCTACTTTTAGTCCAGTAAAGCACAGCAAATTCTGGCACTTTTTAGCAGTATCAAAAGAATATTTACATGTTAGTGATTATACAGTAATTTTTCAAGTCATCACCATATTAACAGTGGTTTACTAGAAAGTCTAATAAAACTTGAAATCATCTAGAAATGTTGGTAGCCATTTGAGATTATTCCTAAGCAGAGTGGATTGCTGCTGGAGGCACCATTTTCTCTGTTAATTTCTTTAAAATAAAACAAGCTTTAGTTTCATTTACTGATGTAATTTGAAAAAATCTAGGGGTTTTTGGTTCTGCTGAAGATAGATTTTGCTTTACATTTCATAGTGAAAGGTCTTTCTCTATAATTTTTTTTTCTTATTTTGTTACAGATCCATTTTTCCCCCTTTCTTTCCTGGTGAACAGCTGGTTTCCTGGAATGCTGGATGATCTATTCCAGTCACTGTTTCTGTGTGCACTGTTGTTGTTCTGGCTTTGTGTCTACCATGGTATTAGAGTACAGGTAAGAGATGCAACAATATCTTCTACTTACCAAGGAGACAGGACTTCTTTTGTTCCATTCTCTCAAAAGGTGACAAAAAATTAAATTCTTACAAAACATATATTTATTTTATTCATAAAGTACAATGTGATGTACAAAGCTTTGGAGTTAGAATGATTTATGGTGAAGTAGATTATTTTGAGTCAACCAAGCTTAAATGAAATAAGAGGGACAGTTGTCAGAATTATGATGCCATATGCTTCATTCTTGCATGAATTCTTGCATTTTGATGTTGTATGTGGTAGTTGATTGTTTTTTAAAACTACTTACAAATACTACATAAGAGAAATAGGAATTCTGGAGCCTATTCCTCTATTTGCATTATCAGTGAAATATGGGGGACCTTGTCAATAGGATGCTCCATCTATACTTCATCTTATTAGCACAAATGATGATAGAATATGTCTTCTCTAGTCACTTGTGCAGGATGAAAATACAGATGAGTCTTTTAATCCAGTTCATGTTGAGTGAAACAAAGATGATAGTTATTTTATTCTGTCAAGAATAAATAAAATCTCAAGTGTGGGTTCACACTTTTACCATACTATTGTTTTCTTAACAGGGGGAAAGGAAGTGCTTAACTTTCTATCTGCCCAAATTCTTTATTGTTGGACTATTGTGGCTGGCCTCCGTTACACTGGGAATATGGCAAACGTAAGTAATTCAAAATGTATTGCACAAGTATGAGCTGAGAGTGTTAAAAAATGAGAAGATGGAATGTACCTAGTGGTATCTCTTTCTTAATTCTCAAATTGTGATACAGGAATGGAGTTCAAATTCTTATATCTTTCTGTTCTGCAAATTGTGATTGATTTGAAAACAGTTCTCTGAGGACAACCTAGTAGTAAATAATTTCCTAAATCTGAGTGCAATCTAGAAATCACTGCTTTGTCAGTATGTTATGGCTCCCTACAAGAATCACTTTAGTACTATGGCTTAGCTTTTAGTAGCTGAAGCAACAGTTTCTCTGAAGCTAATTATGGCATAGTTTGACCTGACTCTTGACTATTAAACCTGCACAACTGTTGCTGGCATGGCTTAGTCAAGCTACGCTGTTTTTACTCAGAACTCTTCTTTTGCTTGGTTTAGTGGTTCTCCCTCTTTTCCAGTTTGTTGTATTAAGATAAAGGTGTCACTCTTCCCCACTCAAGAAACTTCCTCCATTCCAGTACATTTGAGGTTTCTATGCTGTTTTAGTCTCAAGTGTTTGCCTCTTATTTTATCTCTCAGAAGCAAGAAAACTTCTAGCCTTCTCCTTGCCATTGTACATTATTAAAAGCAGTGCAGTTGCAGAAAATGCTCATGCTATTAGTAAAACTGCTATGAGGGAAGGCCTCATGCCACAGTTTTCTAAGGATAAAATGTAGACACTGAATCCTGAAGACTTGCTGGAATCCTGAAGGCCTGTAGGAATTTACAAGATACACATTTGCTAAAAAATGGGTGGGGAGATCAGACATGATCCAATTTTAAATCCTCCATATTTCTTCAAATACAGTTGGCTGTATATGGTAAATTGTCGTGACTCCATTGGAATTAATGGCATTGCTCCAACTTAGACAGCCAAACCCTTTTCTTATAAACTCTGTATAGTAACCTTAAACCTTTTTTTTTGTGAGGGGGTGTCTTTGTCAGCATGTCTTTTTAACCTTGTCTGGAGTTGTGCATGTACCACTTTTTAATTTTGAATCTTTTCTAGCGTGAATGAAGTACATGATCCTACATATCAATACAGGGTTGACACAGGTAATTTCCAGGTAAGTAAAAAATGACTTCTTGTTGTCCAATTGTCAGGTACAGTTAGGTAATGTAAGGAGAGAGGGAGCTTGTTCTTCTATAAAAATGTATAACACAGTTTTGATAACAGAAAATGCTGATCAGACAATCTTACTCTGACTAGAGTACTTTTGTTTTTGCTTTAGATCATGCATAGACTGTATTGAGATCTGTCCCATTGAGAAAAGTAAATTGTCTTGCAAATCTGGAGACAAAACAACACAAGTTTGTTGGGATTGAAAGAAAAAAGTTTAAGTCTGTTATTCAGTTTTGTACATCTTAACTCCCGCCAAGGTCCCTACCCTGCTAAATTTCAGACTTTCTTGTTCTAAAGGAAGATTTGATGTACATGGGTCCTTGTATTGTTCTTGGGAGCTGTGTTTTTAGAAAATTGTCAAGATTCAGCCAACTCTGAACTCGGTTAACAAAATTCTGGCTTCTATTAAGCGTCCTTTCTCTACATTCCCCAAAAATATCCCTGAGTATATCACCATCCTTGCTTCATGAGCCTACTTTCCCTGCATAAATGGACCATTCTATGTTGTACTTTTGGGAATTATTTCTATTGACAGAAGAAGGAATAGATGAATTCTTATTAAATAATAAAACCTAACACTTTCCTTATAGGGAATGAAAATCTTCTTCCTTGTGGTGGCAGCCACATACATTCTGTACCTTTTGTTCCTGATAGTGAGGGCATGCTCAGAACTTCGAAACATGCCTTATGTTGGTGAGGAATACTTCTTTTGAGTCTTCCCAAATGGCCTTGCTTCTCCTATATGCAGGTGTAAAAATTCACTGATAACAACTTTTCTCAATCTTTTTCAGATCTCAGGTTAAAATTCTTGACTGCATTAACCTTTGTAGTGCTTGTCATTAGGTAAGGCTTTTCAAAGTACATTTATCAGTACTCTAACTTGCCTAACCTTTTTTTCAGGGCTTTGAATAAATTTTGCTGCTAATAAATTAGTCAATGAAACTCAAGAATGTCTTTTAATATTATTGTGATGGCAAGCATTTCTTAATGTTTTTAACCCTTCTTGAGGCCTTTTGAACTAACTTTGTATTATTTTGATTACCATGGCAGTGCACAAGATTTAGAAGTTTACTTGGCAGAGCTTGACTGTAGCTTTGTAGGCTTCATTTAGTCAAAGCAGAATTTTACAGTTAGTTTCTTACATTGCTGTTAATATCTGTTTTCCCTACACCAAGCTATTATTTCAAATAGCTGTTGATTATTGGATTGTCTGTAGTAGATGAAATCTGAGGATTTCTGCTTTTCTCAGCTGAGCGCTAACTTTTAATCACAAAAGAATGATTCTTAATTTAGAACTAGCAAAGCAAATGTATCTTAAAATAAATGGTCAGCATATCAACATAATTATTCTCTCATATACTCTTCTGTCAAACTACTGTTTCAAGTTTGTAGCCTAAGGACACAGTACACCTATATGCTTTTTTTTTTTTTCCTCCCACAGCATTGTTATACTCTACCTACGCTTTGGAGCACAAGTTCTACAGGACAACTTTGTTGCTGAGCTGTCAACTCATTATCAGAACTATATCCTTGTGCTGTGATACTGCTCAAGTAGGAATGTTAATCTGTTTTCATGCAGAAGGTGCTTTAAAGTGATGTACCTGAGACCTTTGACTTCTAGGTGGACTTTTGAAGTTGAGTCTGTTTTGTTTGAGATTTACTGTCAGCATTTTGTAATGGCTCTTTGTAAAGGTTGTGACCTAGACACTCTCAGTCTAGGTGTGTCCACATCAAATGCACCAGTACTGTTTGTGATCGTCTCCAAGAGGAATGAAGTCACAGATATGCATGCCTGGTGCATAATCTAACTAATTTTAATGAGATATTATGGCATATTTGGCTGTATTTGCTGCCTCAACTGTTTGTGTTATACTTAGCAGTTGTCATGGGCTGTACTAAAATATGAGAAATTAATAGTTTTGATGTCACTGAAAATGCATTTGAGTATTGGTCTGAGTCTATGTGTGATACAGGTCACAACAGAGAATTTAAGTGGCTTGGGAGAGACTTCTTTCTGATATCTGTTAACAGCAGGATTGTGACCTGTATGTCTGGCCCTGAACCATGAGATCCTAATACATTCTGCTTTGTGAGAGTGTTTGTGTGACTGCAGCTGCTCTGGTTGCTGATTAGCTTAGGTATAAGTGGGAGGTAGAAGAAAACAATATGTAAAACCTTTAGTATTTACCTAAAACAGTGGCAAGAAACCATCTTCAGAGTTCTATCCACATGTAATCCTTTCTCCTTCCTTCTTCATCACTGTGCCAAGGAGGAACTTTTTAAAAAATAAACCAAACCAAACCCATCTGAACACCCAACTTGCTCTGCTTTGTTTCAGCATTCAAGGCAGAACTATTCAATTGACCATGTACTCCACTGCTTAAGAGCAGACTGTACCTGAGTAAATGTTACTTGTGTTAAAGTTTTGTTTTCAGTGGGAGTTTTACCTTGAAATAGCTTGAGTACATCAGTTGTCACTGAATTTAAAACAGGCAGTTTGTTTAGCCATTCATGCTCACAAACTTCAGTGAGGTAAACATTCTTTCCATTGAAACAGCCTGTGTATGTGTTGGGTCTTGTTTCCAAAGTTCCTGTGTATAGAACTATGTTGAGCAATATCCTTGACACTTACTACCAGCAGAATTCTTATCATTTTATGGGTTACTGAACTTCTATCTCTACACGTTAGCCTTTGTGTATTCCCCCTCGAAGAATGCACTGTATGGTAAGTGTGAGCCATTGTCTGGCAAACGTGGATGGCAAGAGCTGGCGTATTAGCAGATGCTGTGCAGTATCTTTGTATTCTGCTTGTCTCATTACTGTTCTGAACTGCTTTGAGTTAACATAAGGGGAAGCTGCAGTCACTGCTTCTGAGCAAATTAGTATTGGAAATATGAAGGAACACAAAGTGTAATCAGCTGATTAGCTGGGCTTGAATTCTTGTGCACTTAGATCAAGTTTACATTCAGTATGAGGTTTGCATGTAATGCACCAGCCTTTGAAGTGACTCACAGACAGCCCTTAAGGAACAGCATCACTTCATTTGTACTTTGTTCTAATCCAGGTTGAGACATTGGCATGCTGGCAAACTGGACTCTGAAATCCAAATGCTGTTGGAAAAGTAGGAGTGAAACTGATCTCTAATATGGGAGGAATTTTGGCAAACTTGCTACGGAGAGGGCTGCACAGGCCCATGTAAAGCGAGATAAAAGACTGAATCAGTGGCAGTTCTGGTTTTGCGTTCTGATGTAAAGGATACAGTCTGACTTACATGATGATTATAACACATTTCCCTCACTAACAGATAAAGATCATTAAAATAAATATTTCTACTGAGTACATTTTCCGCTTTAAGCGTTCTGTTTCAAGATACAGAACCACAGGAGAGCCCAGGCTGGAAGAGACCTGGAAAGATAATGTGGCCCAACCTTTCATGGGAAAGGAGATGAGATTATCTAGCAGCCTGTCTAATCTTATTTTGTATGCTGAGAGCATGCAGGGAGAAGGCACTAAATAGTGGAGTATGTCCTTTTTCTAATTTAGAGTTGAGATGGATAGAACTGTTTCAGAAAAGTGCTATTTTTCCATCCAGAGTGGAAGAAGGACTGGCTGGATGCAGATAAAGTTGAAAGCCTTCTGCTGGTTGCAGAATTACTTGTTTGTAGAAAGAAGAAGATAAAATGCTGCCAGGAAAAAAGATTGAATTTTATTTGCATATAAACTATGAACTGCAGCTAAGCAGCACAGATTATGCAAGAAATGAAGGCCTTAAAACAAGCTAGAGGGAATTGTCATAAATAGCAATGGGAAAGTATGTGTTTCTTTTCATCTCAAAGGTACAACTCCTTCCTTCATCTCTTTCAAGGATAGAAAACAACTGGATAATCATTGCAATCAAGGAATTCCAGCTTTGGTCTACTATATTTTCAGCTTTGAAATAACCAAGAAGTCTGTGCTTTTAAAATACATAGGGAATTTTGATTAAGGTAATTACCAATGTACATGCAGGTTGAAATACAACACAGGAAACGGCACAGGGGAGAAAATGAACTTAGACAACATGGCACTGTCTATCTAAAAATGAGATAATTATGTTGTCTCCTTAACTTTCAAGAACACTATAATTATGTGTATGAAGTGTAGTGAATTTAAAGGAGAGAATTCCTGTCTGGATATAGTTTTGTTGAACTGTGGTTGTGACTGCCTTGGAAGTTGTGTCTGTTGCTACAGTGTTAAGTTAGCACTACAGACACATTTCTATATTTAACACAATAAATTAACCCTTATTTGTATTTTCCAGAATCACAGTTGAAAGACAATCCTGCTTTTTCTATGCTGAATGATTCAGATGATGATGTGATTTATGGGTAAGATTATAAAATATCTATGGAGAGTTACTTCTGGTGTGTTGTTTTTGTAGTATTCTTTTACATATTAATTAAGTGAAGGGTTTGTTAGTGCAAATTTTCTGCCTACAGAATAGAAATGTAGCCTTTTCTGAAACAAATACAATGAGAATTCGTGGTTTTTTTTTTTTTTTTTTTTGTTTCTAAAAGGGATTGCCATGGCACTGATACAAACAGGTAACAAAGTATTATGATGCTGGTAGCTCATGGAGTGAAGGCAGTAAGAGCTGAGGGGAAAGGGCTTCCTTTTTACTCTGAGAAGGACAGCAGGAGTCAGATGGAATTAGCAAAGACTCAGCTCATATGTAAATGCTTTAGGGAAGGAGAGTGGTGCTTCTTAAGTCTCCAGCACTTATCAAATGAAGAACAATGAAATCTAGCAAAACTTCCTTGACTTGGGTGATTTTATGTACTATGAGAATTTTAGTAGCACTTGAAACCCATCCCAATCAGGTGTCCCTATGCTGGACACTGAAGTTCACCCATAATGTTTTCACCTCTTACCAAAGGTGCTGAAGTGGCTGGACTGTGAGGGTAGGACCAACACTGCACTAACCTGAACAATTTCATCCTGGGATAGCTTGCCTTTGGTTAGTTAGATGAGTAGTGGTAGTACCAGCTTGCTTCTTGCAAATCTATGTGAGAAATGGCTTTCGCTGGAATAACTTTTATTACGCTTCATCCTCTGATGAAAAATAATTTGTTGTTCATAGCTCCCACAAGGAAGAAAAACAGATAACAGCTTCTCATCCAAGTAACAATTTGATGCCTCAATGTAGTTTAGAACTTAACTTTTTATTTTCAACTTCCAATCTGAACTTCCATGTTCAGGAGTTACAATATGTGTCTGTTTCACAGGAGTGATTATGAAGAGATGCCCCTTCAGAACGGCCAAGCTATAAGAGCCAAGTATAAAGAAGAGTCGGACAGTGATTGATTGACTGGTTTCAATGCAGACAGACTTGTTCATCTGGAGCTCAGCCAATTCTGAAGTTTTCCTAGATAGAAAACTTCTTTGGCTTCCTACAATCTGCTGTCATCTGAGCACCAACTCCCAGGAAGGGCATCCTGCTTCTGTTTCTGTTTACAACGATAAAACTGAGAAAACAAATGACGGAAATGGTTGTGGTGAAAACTGAAGAAACCAAAAGTTTTACATGTCTTATAAAATGTCTGATAGCCGGATATCTGTGAACTAAAATCTTCGTCTATTTCCATTGAACAGTCTCACAGATTATGTACTGCATTTCCAATTGCTTCCTTGCTGCTCGGTTTTGTTTTTTGGTTTTTTTTCTCTTTAGGATGATGTACAGCATACTGCCATTCATCTGTTCCAGTCTGCATTAGCTGTTTTGTATACTGTGCACTGTGGTATGAAGTGCCTCATTTCAATTTTCTACCTTAGCATTTTGAGCTGGAGGCAGGGAATGAAGTGTTTTGGTTTCTGTTTTATGGGAGTTTTTTCCATCAGTGCAAGAAGACAAAAGTTTTCTATTCTTCCTTCAAATAAGTGATACAGACTCAAGGCCATTTTTAAAATACATTTCAGTAAGTTTACCAGATTTATAAATGCAAGATACGGGAAAATAGGCAAGTTGTAGTGAGCCAAAATAGTCTCAGTGGTGCAAAATTGTGTTTCATGACATGCTTTACTGCCACAGCAGAAGTGTCTGTGTTGTTTTTTTTTTTATACAACCCTTTCAAACAGAAGTATTTCAGCAACAAAAAATCTCAGAAGGAAGCCAGTACTGTTTTCTTACTGGTCTTGTATGCTGGTGGGGATTGTTACTTGCAGGGAATAGAGTATGAAAGTTTTCTAAGGAATTACAGTTTCAAATTCCCAAACATTTCATTTTTAAGCGTTTTTCTTCCTACATCAGTTTTGCCATAAGTTGTATTAATAGATAGTTACTCTACATGCTAGGAACAGTTATGGTTGCTCGTGTGTTGAACATGCCTGAGAGTCAGCTTGTGAGCGTGTTCTGTGCAGAGTTCAGCTCCTTTGTCATATCAGTCTCCACCTGTATGATGGGAACTTTTACTAGCACATTTTGTGATTATCTGTATTCCAGTCTGTGCTGGAACAAAGTTATATGGGAATTAAGTATTCCTTGTACAATGCTGCTGCTTCTCCGTTTAGAAGTTGGTTTTCTCCTATGCCATTGTTTGGTTTTTTATTTAAGATGTTTGTTTGTAACTACTTTTGCTTTCAGATACTTGACCCTTCTAAAAGTATCTCCTTTTTTAATTTAGTTGTAACTGAGATTTACTCTTGTAACATTTCTCTGCCCTGCTGCTTTAGAAGACTCGAAAGCACTGTTACTCTACTATGATATGGTGCTGGGTTGCACTGGAGAATTGTGCTCATCATTAAAGAAGTTCAAGCAGAATAGTGCAATGAAATCCTGCTAGACTTGCTAAATCATACTGCGGAAAAAGGAGATTTGTTGTGCTTTAATGCAACAACTGCTCCAGACCGTGCTCATTGCAGTAACCTCCTGGTGGCTATTCAAGATCATGAAGGGGAGGCTGCACAAGCCAGCATCTCACTTAGAGAGGACCAAAGGAACTGCTTCATGTGGTTGCACCCTTGCTGTCATAGAATAGTTCAGATTCAATCAGTGCTCTGCTAAAGATGTGTTGTGAGACATGGTGTATGTGTGAGAGAGAGGGAAATCTTTCTAAAATTATGAAGAGCTGTGAAATTTCTGGAGAGTATCTGAAATGAAAAGCTTTTTGTGCCAGGGATTGTTTCTTTGTTAGAAGCCAAAGCACTGTTGTATGGCTAAAGCAAGGAAATTGCTGGGGAGGAAGAGCAGGTTCTTCTAATTGGTATTATTTTAGAAGAACATATAGGTAAACACTAAAGAAGGAATTCAAGTTAGTGGTGGTTTTCTTTCCAGTAAACTGTAGTAAAATGTACCTTCAGCACTTCTTTTTAGACTATTTTGAAAGGGTATGGGAGGTGCTCTATATGCTAAAATTGTAGAGTCCACTCTCATTTTTATTATTCTTGAGATAGCTCTCCCTATTTGAATGTGCAGAGTCAGACTTGGCAACCAATTTGGCATTGTTTACATAAGCCACATCCTTTCAAGTTCCATTGGAGTAACAATGGGTACAAGAAGTAGGTTCACAAAAACTGATATTTACAGGATTCTCATACTCAGATATTTTTCCTCTGATACTGTTTAATTCTCTCCTAAATTGTTATGAAGAGATAAAATTAGACCAATGTGCGAAGTACACTAATGTTTCTTATCACAGTCTGAACTGCTTGTTACAGTTAACACTCAAATAGTGTCATGCCTTGTGATTTCGTTAACTAAAAACCATATTTTTTATCTAACTTGAAGATTATTTTCAACCCATTTCTCTTGCTGTTTTGTTTGAATACACTTCACTACATCACATTTGAAGTGGATATAGAAAAGCTAAGAATGGGAAATGTATGAGTAAGTATCTCACTATGAAAATAGTGAGAAAATAATTTCTGTGGTCATTTTTAGAGATTGTATTTAAGCAATGTTTGCCATGCAAAATAGCTTTGTATTTTGGAAGTGCTACAGTGTTATGGTAGCTTGGTTGAATCACTGTTGCATCAAATTCAATATACAGTAAGATGGCAAAAGCAATGAAGCAGATGAGTAACTAGTTTTGCTAGTAAGACTCCTCGTATTTCCATGATTGGAGAGCAGAGACAGTATTTAAAGAATATTCCTGTATGGATTGTAAACAGCTTGGGAGTAGGTGGCATAAGTTCACCTCTGAGTAAAGTATTGAAATCTAAGGGTCAAACAGAAGAAACCTGTTTAAGAAGCTAGCCTGACCTTCCTTTTATTACTGCTAAAGTAGTTATTTCCATCTTACGAAATTATTGTATTTAGTAATAAACTACTGCAACTGCACAAAACAAGAAATGTACACAAGAAGGCCCCACAGCTCACAGTGATCCTGGCTCTAAAGGAGATGTCATCCATTAGTAACTGCAAAACTTCCATGTACACAGTGATTATAAGGAACTTGTAAGAAATCAAAAATTGAGTGCAAGCCAGTCACAGCAGATACTTTCTGTAGTATTTACTTTGCCAATCCAGTTGGTGTTGAAATTGGTGGAAACTTTCCTAGGACTGGCAAAGAAGAAGCCTAAGGCTTAACACCAGTGAGAAACAGCTCGTGCATTGGATCTGTGGTACCAGAACTGTGGAGAACAGTTCCAGCTAGGAAAAACTTCCATCTGTTGTCTTTCTCTGAGCCAAATGACTACATTTTATCCATAGTCACCTAATTTCCCCACCCATTTCCTTTTGCTTATGCCAGTAATAACTTTTGCATTACTGTAAAACTTTTTTAGGAGTTTGTAAATATGTAAAATGAAAATATGGAAAAATTGTGTACCAAAATGGTATAAAAATGTGTAAGATAAATGCTCTGTTTAATGAGAAGCTGTAATTAAATGCTGCTTTGAGAAAGTGTGCATGAGGACATGTTAAATATTGTGTATCTGTAAGTTGTGCTAATAACAGCAAATTATCCATTTATGTTGTAAAACTTAATGCTGATATGGAATATGAAGGAAAACTGAATATTTTACTTCAAGGAAGTTTCTTGGAAGACTTTATGTGCATAATCATTGTTAAATATGTTCATAATAAAGTTTTATATCTTTATATTGTATCCTGGGTTTATTTTCCTTCTACTGAATTTTGGTTTCCTTCTCATAAGCTGTTTTCATGACTTACCCGTATTTTCAGTTTACGTGCATTTTCTTATGCATATTTAAGCTTGGTTAATTGCAGAAGGATGGGATCCAAGAAGCTGTGTCATCACAGATGTTTTGTATTGTTTATTTGGGGGAGGAGGGGGGTTTGTTATTTTGCCCAGACTTGAAGGTAGAAGGACAGGTTGCTAAGTTTTTAAAATAAGCCAGCAGGTTACATAAGGGGCCTGGCATTTTCAAATGGCTTCTCAGTGGCTTTGCAAAGCTTTCTGCTGTCATGCTGGCAGTGAGAATTATCCTGGTGAATGTTAACACCAGTAATAAAAACCAGGTTTAGAGATGGTGAAGATGCTGATGTCATTCATCAACTTCTTACAACTCTTATCTTTCACAAGTCTGCTCATAGCTGGTAGACTGCAAAAGCAATCAGCACATTACTTGCTGTTTGGGGCGCTGCCATTTCTTATATAAACTCGAGGGGAGACTGAAATCTCTCTGTGCTGAATAAAATGGCCACAAACTTCCCTGCACAAATGGATATGCAGCTAACTCCTGGCTGCAGTACCAGATAGGGTGGTGCTCGTTTAGCAGCAGCACTTAATCCTGGAGCCATTTCCATCGGTTTTAGTTAGCACAGATCAGACTCCTCTGTGGCAGTGACAGTAAATGCCTTCCCCCTTCCTCCTCCTCTCCTGCAGACTGGGGCTGCCATGCCCCCGTCTCTGTAGCTGTAATCATATGAAGAGCCACGGCAATAAGCAAGAGACAGCAGAGAGTGACTGTGTAATTACCTGGAATGCTCCATCCACAGTTTGGGTTTATTTTTTAAAGGCAAATTAATTACCTAGAGCCAGGATTCTGCCAGCTCATCACCCAAATGCTTTACTTTGGTACTGAGATGAGCTGGCCTCTGGAAAAAGTGCTTAAAACTGAAGTGTTTGAAGGTAATGAAAATTTAAAAATCAGTTACTGTAGAACACTGAAACTGTAATATACAATTGTGATGCAATTTTAAAGAAAAGCACTATTTTAATAATGGGAGTGGGAAACCAACACCCAAAAATTCCACAACCTCTAAACCCTTTCTGTAGTCCTAAAACTTACATTGCAAGGACTGGTTATTGCTCACATGTAAAACCATCTATAAAACTGTATCTGCCTTTCTGTAGCACAACTCCTGTTTAAATGCAACAGGGGTTTCTCCTGCCATGCAGCCTTTACACTGACAAGCATCTCAAACATTTGTTGTTTTTTGTTTTTTCAGCTCAGCACATGCATGAACCAACAAACAGCAAAATATCAAGGGATATACTGTTATTAATACGAACAAAGGACAAGGAATGTCTGAATGGCTTGATGAAGAAGCAAATATTGACTCAAAGTGCACAAAATTGTTTAAGTATAAATAAATAATTCATTAGGTACTACACTGCCAGCATCATTCTGGCATAATAGAAAGGAGAAAAGTATGAAAAATTTCCTTAGCAACTCGAGCAAAGATTTATTCTTTTCATGACAAGTTTTTCTCTGATCCTGGTGACTGTTCTGGGCACGTTACTCAATCTGATTTTAATATTTTCTTTTTACAGGTGTTTTATCATTTCTGACTGAAGACTGAACCCATACTAAAGCTCTCTTACAGCAATGTAAGGGATGTGCTCCTCAGGCTCAGGTATACACACACACTCTGTATTGCCTATAGCACTCACTAGGACATATGTGAAAAGAGTTAAGTGGCTTGTCATGATGGAGATGCATTTACAGAGCTGATGCTAACAAAAATACAGAAGCCTTACAGCTCTATCAGAAGTCTCAAATGTATCAAGCCCAAAGCTGCTGACAGATACACCTGTTTTCCTCTTCTGACAGCAGACAGGGGTAGGGAGGAAGGGGGTCAAAGCCTTGCCTAGCACAGGGCTTTCCACAGTCTGACTACACTGAGCAGAGTTAGCACATAACACTATGGCAAGCAAATGCTCTCCTGTCATTTGAATCTGCAGTATTGCATCTCTCCAGATCATGGAATCACACTGTTGTATTAGCAATCGTCTTTTAAACAGCTCTAGCTGAGAGCCAGATTCTGAACATGAGACAGGGCTTCCTACAAAGAAGCAAATCACAGATTGCTCAGACTGACTCCAGCCCAGGGATGCTCTCCCACATGAATTTGTAACTCTTGCAGCTTCATTAGCAGTGAGCTACAGCTACAGCTGTTGGCAGATGTTTTCTAAAATTCATCGTATGCTCCCACTTCTTTAATTAGCTGACAAAACATTACCCAAGCCTACGCTGGAAACTTGTTTTACTTGTTATTCTTCTGCGACTTTACTCTAGAAGGCAGGAGACTTTCTCACATTTAGAAACATCGCCTCAAGGCAGTTTTTCCCTTTTCAGAAAGGATCATGTTTCATCAGCTACCAGAACTCATCACTCTCACTATCAGCAAAATTAACAATGGAGTGTAGCAAGCAAGTTCAAGACCTACTTAGCACATGTAACTGACTGCAGAAGTGAATGATTACCCAGGTACAGCTTGCTGAGCACTTCCAGAATGTGTAAATTTCTTCTTTTTGTTCAGTGAAGGTAGTTATTTTTCCATGCTCTAAATACCATACAGAAAGATTAAACAGGTCCCAAAAATGCAGTCAAGTTACTTATTGAAAAACATAATCTAATTTTCTTGCAACTTTGTAGTGACTTTGGCAAAATTATGTAAGTGCTTTTCACTGTATGTACTTCAACTATCTTGAAGAGAATTGAAAAAAATTGAAACTTTTTCCCCCAATAACAAAAGATTTAAGTTTAAATTAATCACACCAATGGTTATGAATTTCAATAATTTAATGCTAACCAAAAGTACAAAGTGTGAAAGTCAGTGTCTCATTTATATTGGTCTAAGAAAAGAAATCTAGAGAAAGTGTTTACACTGCAGCAGATTTCAGTATTAGCACCTTGAAGAGAAGTTTTGAAGTGATAAAAAAGTGTAGAAAACACTGGTGTGGTACTAGGTACAAACAAAACAGATAAAAACATGTTTTCAAATTTCTATCTTTGAAGAAAAGTTACTAAAAAAATGCATTAAAAACAAGTTGTTCAGGTATTCACAGTTTGAGTGGAGATGGAATCAAGTGCTGGAATAGAAAAGAGAAGAATGAAAAATTTCAAGGCAATTATATTGCAAGTCCAAAGGCACTGACAATACAGTACATGGTCTTATTCTCCCATCTCACAGTGCAGGTTCCTGCAAATAGAAAAAAAGGGTTTCAGAAATGGAAGGAAGTGATTACATACATGCCCCTCTATGCATTTTTATACTTGTTTCCTTTAAGAATCTTAAGAATAAAGCTTTCACAACAGCCAAGCATTTCATACACAGCTCAGTTAGCATCACAGCTAAATGGAAAAAATACCAAACAGTATGCTATTACTCCAAAACTACAGACTTGCGGGGGAGGGGGAAGTATGCTGCCTAGTCTCAAAGAGACTGGCATTAGATGGAAAATCCAAGAGTTGTTTTCCTTACCATCGCTGGAGTTGTCCCAGAAGCAAGAACTTGCTGTATGTAGCCCAGCACCATTCTTTTGCATAATCACACAGGTCACTGTTAGTCAGAAGAGAAGCTTTGATTAATTTCTCACTAACATTAATTAGCATTTATCCCCATTTTTGCTCAACTTAGCACACACATACATAAACAAACATACATGGCTGTGAGCCGTTTAGAGACAAGGTTCTGAGATCTTTTGCTGCCCCCTGCCTATTGGTTGGACAGACACTTGACTACCCCAGCTTTCAGAGAAAAGGGGAAGCTGAGCTCACCAATGTACTTGAAGGGCTTCCCCAGCTTTGTGAGCTGGCTCAGGGTTTGTTCCACCACACTTGTTGTCCACTGGTTGACTTTGCTGTGCTGGTAGGCGTTGCCACCGATAGCACTCTCTATGGCCTGGGGGGGGGACAAACAGATGAGGGAGCTGCACTTCTGTCAACTGCAAGGCACCCATTACCCCTTCCAACATGGACCCCATACCCACAGAAAAATCCTAAATACTGCTGGTCTACACTGGCTGTTGGAAGTGTTTTCAATTATTGAAAACATGTAGGTCACAGTCTGAGCCAGGCACAGGGGAAATCACGATAGATCCCACCCTCTGTTCATTCTGTGAGATTTAGATTATTAGTAATGTCCTACAGCCACAATTATGAAAAGGGTCCTGCATTTAAACAGTCCTGAAGAGAATTTTAAAAGGCACAGTAGTAAAACAGCTCATTCACACATATTCTTCTATGGAAATGAAATTCCAATTTTTGAGCAGAATCATTTTTGGGAAACAAACCCCAGACTAAATCAGAAGACCCATGTAGTTGCTGGTTACTAACAGATCAGAAGGCTCCAGCCAAATAATCCATTTTACTTATGAGGATAGTTTCCCCTTTAAGATATAAACAAAAGTAAGTTAAACCTACATTTTTTTCATTGGCACATTGTTTCATTACAGAAATTATGAAAAAAAATCACCACAAAATTGAATTCAGAAGAGACAGGAGGATTTAGTAAGCTTTAATAAGTTTGTGTATTCAATTTACAGAGTTTGGCCAAAACAGTTATTTTGCAACAACAAACAGGCTGCACTAGTCTACAAGAGGAATTCCAAATCCTGCTAGAAATTTTCTAGACAGAAAATTCATGTTTCTTAGCAACAAGAATAGTTCAATCATTCCAAACAAAAAGAACTCCCTTTGGAGAAAGGCATCTTGAAAGAACACAATAACAGGCATACACACACAGTCTACAAAAAGCTCCTGTATTTTACTAAAACATAGAATCTATTTGTACGGTGTTTAACATTAAACATCCCCCTAGAAATTCTAACAGGGATGCACTGCAACTAGGGAGGAGTGTATGAAATTACTTTAAATATCTCTTGGATTTGCAGTATGTATCACAGCTAAAGCTTGGTATCATTTCCACTGAAGTCCATACACTTCCATAAATCAACAGTTACCTGTACTTTGACAGCAACCTACCTAGAAATCTATTGCATATCACCACATTTTACTGAATGCCTTTTAGTATGCAGCATACAGCACATGAAATTTCACACCAACAAAGTGAAAATGTTTAAATTACCTCTTTAATGATGCTGCTGACTTCATCAACAAGAAAGGAAGCCTACAAAAGAGAAAGAATTTTAAATAACAAGTGGACACATTCTTCTGTTTATGATGTTCGAGATCTGTTAAGAACAAGCACTAGAAATTTAATTTACCAGTATCAGATTTCTGGTAAGTCAGAAGATACCAAGTCTGCCTCTATTTGCATATATATGTACTCTAGATGTACATATATGTATCTATGTGTACATATATGATACATATGTATCTATATGTACTCTAGCTCCTTCAGCCCAGTCAAGTTAATCTGCTTAGAAAAGTAATTAAAAGAAATGAACCAAAACTGGCTAGCCTTTTGAGTCAAGAAAGCTCTGAAATTTTGATTTGAAGCATTTTAAAATAACATGTATGGCACTTGTGTACACATATATTCCCCTTTCCCAATAATAAGCACTAATGTCTGCACATCACAGTGGCTCAGGGAGATAACCTCAGCTCGCAGATAAATGGAACCGACATCTCCAGGGCACCGATGTGGACAAAAGAGCAGTTCAGAGCTGAAGGAAAAACTGTCTTGACAATCTCAGCCAGGGATAAGAAGAAAGCTGCCCCTTGGAAACCAAAGGGGAAATGTAGCTCACTGGACCTTCAGCCTTTGGGGAGCAGAGATTAAGCACATGGAATCAAGACAATGAAGGCCCAAGCATTTTACTCATCTTAAAACTACCACCCATTTCCACGTATGGTCAGTAGTTTATGTTTTCTTCCCTCTGCTCCTGCTGCCTCCCATGTCAGGGGGGTTGAACAAGCTGCTCCCACTGCTGGGGCAGCCACTCACAGGACCAGGGAGCACTGACCAGGGGCACTCTGCGCTGCAACAGCGACTCACACCCCACCCTGTCACTGCTGGTGTCTCACAGCCTTGCCTCACACACCGGGACAAAAGAGCACGTGAAGGCAAACTTATTAATTTCAAAAGACTGAATAAGAATGTAAAAGTGAACCCAACCAGGTGTATGTTGACTGGGTTTTCACTGGTAGGTCAGTCAGCTTCTCAGGCTGACAGAAATGAACAACAGTGTAATTCACATCTGCAGGCAGGATACAGTTATACCTGCTCAGGAGAATCTCAACATCACATTCATAAACCTTTAGTCAGGAGGTGAACAGCTTCAATGACATGTGACATTCAGAAAGATGAGAGAAGTTGATCATTCTTCATGACAGAAGAAACAGCACATCCTGGAAGACAAGCTGGGCTCCTTTACTATACCTATCCAGAAGCACCAACTTGCTGGCACAATTCAACATTTTTAAAAGCCTTTATGTTCCGTGGCAAATTGCTTTTTATTTTCAGCTTCTTGACTAGGACTTAATTTTAATTTATTTTCATTTATTTTCATGGTACTATATTTTACAGGTGCTTACATTTTAAGATGCAGCAGTGTATTTAAACAAGTAAAAACTACAATTATCAAAAAACACTCTTTCCCACAGAGCTTAAGAACATGGTAGACACGCTATGAAGACTACTGTCAAGCATGATGATAAACCACGTACAGTGTTCTTCCTCACAAAATATGCTCAGAAATGCCTTTGAGTGAGTACACAGTTCACACCAAAATAAGATGACTTAAATTCAACCCAAGTTCTCAAAGGTATTCTGATATCTAATTTGTACAGAAACAATAGAGAGATTTGACAATTCACTTCTGGGGCTGATGCTACTTTTCAACCTTCTTCCTTTCTTGGAATGACAAAAATGAACATAAATTCCTGATATCCCGATTTGGGATATATGTGCTATAACCGAACTATGAAATAACACAACACTACCCGTTTTATCATCATGTCATCTTTTAATAAGATGACACAAAAACTTTAATGTACTAAAAAATAAAGGAGAAAAAAATCGGCTACTTTACAGTTTCCCTGCGGTACCTCTCTGGCACAAAGCAAGCAGATGATGTTTCCAACACCTTGTTTAAAAGGGGTGCTCCCAGGCAACACATGCAAACTGCAGAGCAGTACTACAGCCTTTAGTAATTCTGAAAACGTTTCTGAAAACAGCTCTAAGAATGATTTCCAGGATGTTAATTATATCTTTTTAAAAACGCCGAACAGTCTGTGACTGTAACACAGGCCAGGCCCTGCCATGAGGACGAGGCTTTTAGAAAAGGACAAGCCTGACACACCTTCGGCCCTCTCGCTGCTTCGCTCTTGTGTCACCCAGTCACATCTCGGCTGTTTAACAGTGTCACAGCTGTCCCCCTGCAAAAGCAGCACTGGCTGCTTCCTCCTCCTTAGCGGGGAGACACGAGGTGGTCATTTAGCACGATAATAGATTGAGACTCTTGATTTATCCCACTCCGCATCTTGTGAATGGGGTGTGACGCCCCATCAGCACGCCTGTAACACGCAGCCCAGAGGCTTGGACTCCTCTTTCCACACAGAAGCAGTTTGCTCGAGTGTTCCCCTGCCGCACACGGCACCGGCCACCCCCTCACCACGGCACTCGGCTCCTCCGGCGGGGGCAGCCCGAGGCCACGACACCCCTCACGCCTCTTCCCCGAGCCACCTGCAGCGGCAGGGCTAGAAAACAGAGTCGAGGAGTCCAGTGAACACCCGGTCAAGGGGCCGGCACCCGGGGGCGGAAGAACAAAGGCTGGGCCCGTCTGCCGCCGGTGCCCGGGTTACGCGGCTCCACCCTGAGGGAAGGCGACAGGGATGGCGGCGGGGGACGCCGAGGGGTGGGATGCGGGGCGGACGGGCACCGCCTGAGACACTCCGCTGGCCCTGAAAGGAGACGCCAGGCGGGAGGCTGTGCTCCTCCTATCCCCCGTCCCGTTACCTCCTCTGCCGTCTGGAATTCGTCCATCTTCCCGGCGGAGCCCCTCACGCCGCCACCGACCCCCGGCACCGCCGCCGCGCCNGCGCGGTTGCCGTAGCGACAGCGGCCGGGAGACGGGCGGGAGATGGCGCTCGGCGGGGCCGCTGTGGTGCTGTCAAGCGTCCCCAAGACTGTGGCTGAGAGGGGGGAGCCGCTTGTGAAAGCTGTGCTTTTCTTACCGATAGCTTGGCATTAGTGTTCGGCCCCACAAGAGGTCCTTCCCTGGGAGGTCCTTTTCTGCTCCCCGAGGAGGGAAGGAGGATCCGCTTCTTGTCTCTGGAAAGAGCTTAAAAAGAAGGCCTATGTCGCAAACTGAGAAAATAAAAACATAGAAAAAGTCTCCCTGTCTATTCATTATATTTCCCCCCCGCCCAGCCGGAGGGAAGTGACAGGGAGGCTTTAGTGGGCGTCTGACATCCCGACAGGGTCAACCCACTCCAGAAGAATATCTGAATTCTTACAGTTCTAAGCAGATCACACGAGTTTTAGCAGACATAGTAAGAACCAGGAGAACGAAATTAAAGGCCACATTTGTCACAGTTCCTGGATGTTTTGTGTGTGCAGGATTTACAGGTTGTCCAAATCACTGATGCTACCAGCCCCTGAGAGCTGCTCTAGGCAGTGGGAGATGCTGTTCACACTCAGAAGGGCCTGGATGAACTGCAGGAAAAGTCTGGATGGAGGAAGAAATAACTTACTGGGGACAAGTTCAAAGGGTTGTATGGAGGCAGGAATAACCAGCTCTACAAGCACAGGACCAACTCACTCAGTAGCTGTGTTCCAAAGACACACGGAGTAGGGAGGTGTTTAGGTACAATTTATCTCAATTTCTTGTATGGTGCTGTTAAAAAAAAATAGTAAAAAACCATAAAGGACATAGAGCCTGGAAGCAGTATTCCTATTGCCCCCTCTGTGGTAAGGCTGCACAAGGAATACTGTGTCCAGTTTTGGGTGTTTTATTTCAAGAAGACTGAGGGACTTACAGCTCCAGGGCCTGAGTGTGCTGGCTGAGCAGTTTTGATGCTGTCTCCAGTTCTGTGTCAGGCTCTGTCTCCTGTTCCTCCCAAAAAAGGGGACCCTGGCCAGGCACCTCACTTTGGGGCTCTGGGGGCACCCTGTGGGCAGCACCAGCTCCGCTCTCTCTGGAGGGATACAGTGGGCCTGTGGCTGGATGCTGAGCACATCCTCAGCCCCATTCCAGGTCTTGTGCTTGCTGCTTCCAAAAAGCAGAGACAAAAAGGTGAGGACTATGGGAAGACTGAAAAAATGGTTTGAACAAAAAGCATAAAAGGCTATATATTTGGTTATATTCTTAGCCTGTATAAAATACTGCAGCAGTTTTCCACAGCCAGGGATGAGGGAAAAATACAATGAGTTAAATATGTGGCAATTAAGGATTTGATTAAATATTAGGGGAAAGCTGGTTGTAGGGCTAATGTTCTGCAGCCTCCATTTGGGATACAATTAATCAAAATACAATTTGGGATTACAGCTAATCACTGTGGGTAGTTAGAAGCCTCAGGTTACTTTTGGCTTCTCATTCAGTTTAAGATTTGCCAAAAATTAAGACCCAAATTATCCAAATATGGTGCATACATGCATGGCTCTATGCCTCACTAGCAGTGGCTTTCTCTTCCATGATGCAGTTGAAGAAGGTGATTAAACTTGACATACACAGGTGGAAATGCTTGAACCTATTTAGCTTGATGAGGTTATAAAAATACAAGGTCTTGAATGTCTCCATGTGAGTGGAATTGTTGTGCTTTGTTTCATTTTAACTAAAAATCACAAATCTTTAATTACCTGAAGCAGTTAAGAAGGGTTTCTGTGTCATATGCACAGTTTGGTAGAACTGGGAAAAAGAAAGGAGACTGAGCTGTAAGAATGACTTTTTTTTTTTTTTTCCTCCAGACTTAGAAATAATTGGGATGTAATTTTGAACTTCATTAGCCGTGCTTAATTCTGTGATAGACTTAAGATGTCCAACCTGAATAATGTTTTAATTTTCAATTGTTACCTGAGATCAGATTTCCAGCTGTGAGGTAAAATAAGTCTTCTTTTTGCAGGTGCATAAAAACTGAATTATCTGGAATTTTTATCTATACTAATTGCTTTATCTTATAGACCTAAATAGAAAACTGTTTTATTTCCAGGAAAGAGCTGTTTATTATACAAACCAAGCTTTCTGTACAAGCCCTGGAGACATTGAGGTTAGAAGTATTTTCACATTTATGGTGTCAGAAAAAAAAAATAAATATATATATATGTAAAACCCAAAGCCACTTTTCTTCCTGTATGTGGCTTGAAGACTGAGCATATTTTGGTGTATCAGTCAGCTTTTTTAGTCTCTTGTGCTGAGTCTCCTTTCAATGTTAGAAAAACAAATATCTTTGCTTGTTGATGGTAACAAAACCAGAGATCTGGCAAAAGCTGTTGTAACACAGGAGCTCTTTTTTGAGCGCATTTGCTTTCAGCTGTTTTGGGGTGCTTCTCTGAACATACATCAGCAGTATCAGTGCCCAAAGGAAGGAAAGGGGGTGGAGAACAGCCACAAGTTTTCTTTAAGGAGAGATAATTAAATAATAAGACTGCTTCTCATCTTTTATAAGCAGTTTGCTTCCTGGTGTCTTTCTTCGATGGCTGCTGAGGAGGTAAGGACATCATTTTACTCTATTTTGTATGACATAGCACAGGGGGAATCATTTTTATTTACTGGTATGGTTTTATCAAACTGGAAAAGATTTAATGGAAAAACCACACCTGCAGCTTAATTGTTTGTGATGGGTTTAGTTATTTGGTTTTATTTTTGTTCTGGATTCTGGGGTAGGATATTATTAATATCAGACTTAATTTTGATAAAGCTTTATCAAAGAACTTAAGTAATTTTCATGTGCATATGCAGGGATGTGAGAGCTAAACTGTTGCAGCCAGGTAATACAAAATAACACTTGTAATTTTCTTAACTAACAGTGAATTTATGTGCTTGGTCTCAGCAGAATAGAAAGTAGCCACAAACTGTAGAAGCTTTTGAGACTGGTTTTACTCTGAACGTTCTTAATCTGTTCCTTGCTGCTGATGTATTACAGCCATCTTCTGGGTTAGTGGATAAAGTAATCCAGTTATCTCAAGTAAATGAAGACTGTGACTCTAGAAGATCTGTCAATTTATAATTATTTAATTGCCATTATTTTGCTGATGCTTAAGGATGTGAAAGGAGATCAATAATATTTTGCATGTAAAATTGCTTTGAGGAAGAGCTTGCTAAGCCAACCATTTATAAGTTTAAGAACTTAGAAGAAACGCTGTTTCTGCAAACTTAATCTTGTGTAGGGTAGGCTTTTTGCTTGATTTTCAGTAACAACTACGTATTATTTTATCCTGGTAGAAAAAAAAGGGTTTTTTTAGGTTGTACTCTGTGTGTGCATGAATCCCTCTCCTAAGTTATAGCCACATTTGTTATCCCTTCTCCCTTACAATGGCTTTGGGATTTCTTATGATATTTTTGAGATGTTACTGGTCCATCTGCAAGGTGCCTGACCCTGCATTAGTTTAAATACAAAATGTAGTAAGAAATAATGCTAAATATATAATTTAAGAAATACTTGAACAGAATACTTTTTGTGAACTTTGTGCTGAAAAGGAGGAAGTGTTGTGGTATTTACTAAAGAGGTTGCTGTTACTTTTGGTTTTATGTAGAGAATGCTCAGCTTTGAGGTTAGCTGACTGTGTAAAACAGCTAGCTAGCTGGATTCAATGGGTGAACATGAAAGGAGGGCATCTCTTATGGGTTTTCTCCTGTCAAAGAGGGTAATTACTGAAAACACTTCTTTATTACCTCAAAAAAACTACTCTAGTGCAGATGGCTTTGGTGTAAGAGAAAAGTTCTTATTTCACAATGGTAGAGAACTTTTCAGTCCAATTTGAACACCTCTGTGAAATAATTACAAGTTCAAGTTTGTTGTGGGTCCACAGATTATCTCCCATTTTGAGGGTTGTAATGCTTTTATAATATTTTATTTATTCTTAGGGCTATCTCATCATTCAGCTAGATTTTTTTAAAGAATTTGAAGGAGACATCAGATAGCAACTCTTTCTGTGCTTGCTCAACTGCAGGTATTGCTCTTCATAACTGTTTTACCGTGGCATGTTCTTAATAGCCCTATAAGACATTCATGTATTTTCTAGAAGATTACCAGAGCAGAGTTTTATTGGATTCACTTAGTATTTATTGACTGTCATGTACTTGCTAGCTTTTACTAATGCTTTAGTGGGATTTTTTGGTGGTGTTCAGATATGACCAAAATCCTACGGGTTTATAGGAAGTGTAGCTTACCCTGTAATGGATGTTTTGATATCCTGTGTAGGGCAGAGCTGCCAGAGTTTGTACTGACTCCTCTTTAGGTTGTGTTGACTTAAATGGAGTTGATGACTTTAAACATTCTTATCTATCCCAGAAGGCTGGTAAAAGGTGAAAGCAGGTGAAGGATGCTGGGACCTTTGAAAATGACATATATTGTGTTAAAAAAATTTGCTCAGGCATTTATGCTTCAAATGAGTAATTTCCTGTGAAATTGCAGTTGGTAAGGAAATAAAACATGAATATGCCTATCTCTGTCTCTCTTGTTTCCACAGGAAGTTAGTTGTTTTTTTTTTCTTGAACACAAGCTTCTGTGAAATGCTTTGTCCTTTTGGTGTCTGTTGAAGTGTTTCACCAAAAAAAACCATACACAAATGGAATGCAACCTGTTTATGTAGACATATTATCACCCTCTGCTTTTTCTGGTGGAAAATTAAGTAACTTAATTGGGAAAAGCTGCATGTCAAGGAATTCCCTGCACTGACAAAAATACCTTGTCACTGTGTATCTGAAGTTTTAGTGGGTTCTTTTGGTGGTTTAGGTTTTTGTTTGCTTTAAATTTAAAACTCAGTATTTGAAAATAACAATCCAGCAATGCAGGTGGTTGGTCAGATTCTCAGCTGAGGTCCATCAGTGAAGCATCAGTAGGTGCTTTGGGAAAGCTTTACCCTTTTGTCTTAGTGTCTACACCTGCCTAGAACCTGACTTTATCTACTTCAGATTAAGTTTGAAACACTTAACCAGTTTCCATATCCATGCCTTTAATGTTGGTGTACCATAAGTGGAATTGTCTTACATTTCTAGTAATATGCACTAAACCTTAGACAGTAATATTGAAAATAATGTGGTGTGTAAGCTGGTTTAGGTTGAATAATCATCTTCTTTCTCCACTTTGCTGCAGAGTATATTAAAATTATACTTTAGTGGGGTTTTGCAAAAGTGAGGATCCCAGAATATATCCACACTACAGCTATGATGCAGTTTCAATTTTATACTTGCGTATATTTGTTTGGGACCAAAATCATTAGTGCACTGAGCTGGAAATAATATATATCTTAACTTCTCTGTGCCTCTGTGTATTAGCAAAGATAACAGCATTATTTGGTATCAGACCACACACAGGTAATTGATGGAAGTGACTTAGAGGTTTTGGTTTTTTCCTCTTAGTCTTGTAATGCATTTTCAATAAAATGAGATTATTAAGGGACATTTTTTCTCAAAAATTTTGTCTCAAGCAGTAGGATAGTCATGGGACATGTAGGCCTGTATTCAAAACTAACTTAGGCTTTTTTATTGGTTGTTTTATGTTGACTGTACAAAAAAATGTGAAGGTATGTGCCTGAGTGCTAATGGACAATATGGTGAGCCTCTCTGAAGATCAGGTCTGTCTTAAAACCTCTCCTGTGTCTGAATTATTGCATGAAAGATTTGAGTATATCAAAATGTGTCTTCCACATTATTTGAAATGTCTTGAATAGGTGAGAAGAGATAATGATTGGTTTTGGTTTTTTTTCCCCTTAGGCCCAGAAATCCTGAATCTACAAGGCCAAACAGAGAAACCCAAACCATTTCTGCCACTACTTTACACCATCTCTTGACAAATTGTCCCTCCATCTGGTGCCAGTTCAAGCCCTATTTGGGACATTGCTGCAAGCTCTCTTCTGTTTTGGAACCACCTCTTGGAAAGAAGAAAAGGAAGTTAAAGGACACGTGAAAAAGTCAAGACTGCTGTGACCTTGATAACTGTTCAAATTTCCTGGGTAACAGAGACACTTAAATCTGTGTGAAGACGGACAAAATTATTTTTCTTTCCAAGGGTATGACACAGTGAAACACATCAACAATCAAGTAAGAGTGCAGGCCTTTAGGAAACATCCAGACCAGCATTTGGGTTGCAGTGGAACCCATAAGACAGGAGTCTACAAAACAGGTGAAATAGTGAAATTTGGTAAAAATGGCCTGTGAATTTAATCTGAACTTCCTTAAGGAATTAGAACGAGAGGCTGTTCTGGAGGTCCTATACCGTGACCAGATGGTGAGAAAAATGGAGGAGGAAAGAATAAGGTAACTGTTGTTCCCCTATTCCTGTTTTCCGGTTTGTGATTTGGTTTTATTCCCTTTAGAATTACTCTTCTTTGTTGGAGGACTTTATTGTCCTTCTAAATGTATTCATTTTCTAACTTATGGTTAGCTAATGCCTTTGTATTGTCTGGGAAATCTAAGGTTATCCAGTGCCTCTTGTTTTTGCCATTCTATTAGCTCTACACTAAAAACCATCAAATCCTGCTCACTGAATAGTGTATTTGGTGAATTTTACTTCCAGCCTTCATAGAAACTTCAGTTGCTGGCTGCATTTTTTCTATGAAGGCTTTGTGTATTTGCATACATTCTCATCATGTTCCTATGTATGCATATGTATAGTCTTAGTGAAGTGGAACATATTCAGATCTTTGGCTGGCTTGTTCAGCTTACAGTGTGCCAAGACTGGAGTTAAGAATCATTGGATACCTGCTCATCTTGCTAAATCCATCACTATACCTTCTCACACACAGCTGGCAGCAAGCACACCACTCTACCTTGGAGGTTGTTACTTGTGTCAATAGGTGTCATTGGTTAGGAAAGTATTTTATTTACTAATTTCACACTATGCCAGTATCTCAGCTGGTGAGGATGAAGAATAATTTTCCAGCACTTTATTTGCTTTATATCTTGGCTAGGACAAAGATTTCTCAGTACCTTGTATCCTGCTCTGTGATATTGCATCCTCCTGTAAAACTAGGTATTGGTGTGGGTAAGATATTAATTTTCAGTCTCTTAAATGTGGAAAGTTAAACTTTGTTTACATCAAGCATTTCTGTAAGTATTATGGGACACATTAAATACAGAACAATATTAAAACAATAGCAATTACATGAAGGGCTATACAGAATGTCCAAATTGGTTAGAAAATCCCTTTTAACTACTGATGATGTTACTATCAATTAAAAACATAGATTTTGATTATTGGTACATGCAATGGAAACAAAGTTAATGGCAAGGAGGTTTTGATATTTTGGTCTGTGTGCTGTTTTGGTTTGTTTTTTTAGCTTTCAGATGATGCATTTGTTATGATTATTTTTTTTACTCAGTAGAATGTTTAATTATTGGATAAATATGATTAAAAGAATCAAATGTAAGGGACTACCATTTAGTCTCAGTTTTTGTAAGTGAATGCATAATCACTTGCATACAATAATTTCAGTGCTGAAAGTGGGCCTGAAATGAACAAAACCCCCATTTATACTAAACTATTTCTGTTAGTTTGCTCAGTTCTGATCACACACACAGAGTCGCACTGCAGAAATGCTGTGTGTGCACATTTTCAAAAAGTGCTTCAACAGAGGTCACACTTGAGGGCATATCTCCCACTAGAAATGGTTTTGCACAACCAGGGTATTATTAACTTGTGCGTTATGTAAGGATTTTATCCTTCGTAATTTTTTTTTTTTTCCCTTTTTACCTGTGGAATTAGGAAAATGAAATTGCAGCTACAGCAGCTTCGGTGGAAAGGGGCAAAAAATGCAAGGCATGAGTACCAGGAGAGATCTTGTGCTCGCTGTCAGAAGTCACTGGGGCTGCTGATGAACAGAGGAGCAGTGTGCAATGGATGCAGTCATCGGGTGTGCTCGGAATGCCGTGTCTGCCTGACCCCCTGCCTCTGGAAATGCACCATTTGTTATGCTCATGGGTAAGGAATTTTGCTGGTTTGCCCCAGTCATCCAATGGATGCCCACTGGTTGTGTGTATCTGTTGCCTGAACAGTTAATGAAACAAAGCCACTGGTGTAATGAAAATGTTGGCTGAAGTCCTGGTAGCGATGAAATGGATGGAAACTTTGTGTTATTCTTCATGTAGCTATTTCCTTCCTGTGTGTAGCAAAATGGATCCTCAGGGTAGGGACTGTGAGTGTGACAAAGATGATAATAGCAAAGCACAGAAACAGTTGTGGGTTTCTGAGCCACAGAGAGAGCTCCTTCCTGTACTTGATGTTGAACTGGGGCATCCTCACAACCTGCTGAAGGTGCTGTGCTTTGATGTAGTACAGTCAATTTCTTGACAATTTCCTAATCATTATTTTCTGCCTCTTACCACTGGAGTGAGAAACCTGATTGATGAATAATTTGAAGTCATGCTTTATAAAATTTTAAAGAACAAAACCAATTAATAACATTACTACAATTTGTTCAAGTATGGTCAGAAATACAAACCTGTTTACCTTGAATTAGTTGATTTTTTTTCTTTTACTATGTCACATTTTTGTATTTCAGGATGCAGGAGACAGTCTTTTTTTTACTGTATTGGTACATTTTTTTAATATCAAACTATTTCTTCATAGTCCATTCTATTAATTGCAATCTTTCTAAGCAAAAGGATTTAGATATATTTCCACATTTGATGAAAAATAATACATAGGTGAAGAATGATTAGTTTGGGAAGCTATTCAAAAGCTCTATTGAATGATAAATATCCTTGTAGAAATGGTGAGGATTTGGATGAAAACTTACTTTACGCCAACACAAGATGAATCCACCACTCCACTCCCTCTGCAGGTACCAAAATGAGATTAAAACAGAGGCAAATATAAGACAAAGTATTGGTCTCAAGTTAAACAAATTTGCAGTAGTTGGAAGTATTTTTTTGTCGTTTGGAAGAGAGCTGTAAACTATAATCAACAAGCTATTCTCTGAATCTTCAGTTCATTTAGTGACTAATATGCAAAATAGTAGTTCAACTGTATTTATACTTGATACAAAATAGTTACTAGACTTTGGTTTGTGTGTTTTACTGTGTTTCAAACCACATGCGCTAAACTGAAAATTCAAAAATTAACTTTCCATATCCTTCTCTGGATAACCCTCTCCAATTCCTCTTGTTTTAAATTAGTTTCCAGTTATTTGGTGGCTGCAGGGGAAATCCCCTATAGAAAGTTGCTTGTTGTTAAGCTGCTTTGTGTAGTGCTGCGCACCCTTAATTATTTAATAAGCTTGTGCAGATATTCAATGGTAAAACCAAGAAAGCATTATTTAGATTAATTAAAAGACCTTTTTACTTTTCCTCCAGGAAATTACCTTTTTTTTTTAAATCTTGCTAATACAGATGGATATGCCAGCTGTCATTGAATTTCTCTTTATAGGGAGGAGAGAGTACATTTGATCTTTAGTTATGATGTAAAATCAATTAAATTCAGACTTCTTTCATTGCCTTCAGTGAGCTTTACATCAAAGCTGCAAGTCTCAAGGAGGGTAGGGAATGCAGCAATGTGGTAAATGGTACTCAGCACCTTTTGTTTATCCTGGTGAGGGAAAAATAGGATGGCTAAGAAAGGTAAGAGCTGATTTCCAAGTCCCAAGTAACTGTCATTTTGGATCTTGTTTATTATTAGACTAATTTTTTGACTGTTTTCCAGAGATGTGAAAGTGAAGGCTGGTGAATGGTTCTTTGAGGAACGAGCAAAGAAATATCCAGGTGAAGGTAATCACTGGAACAGATCATAAACTGCTATGTAATGTGTAGCTGTCATGTAAGTGAAACATAGAATGTAGTCTGACACTGTATCCAGTGTTTCTTCAATTTTACCATGCTGTCCATCTGGCTGTGCAGTAAATAAAACATGAACACAAATTAGCAGAACAAATTTAAAAGTGTAGCTTTTGTCTGAGTAATAAAAGTAAAAAAATTGTTGGCCATGTAAATTTGAATTAATGAGCAGGTAAGACTTCTAAGAAATACAATGATGTGAAATTATAATTATATATATTATAGTATATAATTATACAAATGTTATATGTACAGGATGAAAATGATCTTGCATTCATTGTTTGTCAAAGTTTAAACTTTGGTTGTTTTCACTGAGGAAGTTTTAAAGTTTAAAGAAATGATAGAATGGAATATCTTCCCCGTGTGTAGCTATAAAAGAGCAGAGAGCTAAACACTGTTTTGTTACCTTCAGCCAGCTGGCTGTGCCATTGCCTTCTGCTGGGTCTTTTCAGTGCCATTAAAAGTACAAAGCTCTAAAAGAAATTATAGAGGATGTGGATGGATTGCTCCATGGGGAATGTGTTTTGCCAGCAAAGGAGCTGTTAGTGTTTATTTTCACCTACAATAAATAGCAAGGTGGAGAAGGTTTGTTTCCTCTTTTCCTTGATGTGCCACTTCAGATAGGCATCTACTTAATTTTGTGTCTGACTGTAGTTAAATGACACAGTTTCACTTCCAGGATCTGCATTTATGTTGAAGGGTACTAAAAAGGAAAGAACTAGGCCTTAAGTCACCCCTGGGAAACTTGAATGGGGGGACTTTTACAAATGGAAGAACATAATCGGGCAAATGCAGCATATTAAGAAACTGAACTAAATTCTCATTAAAAAAAAAAAAAATTAAAATTTGAAAGATTTCACTGAAATCCATTCTAGCCAACAGTCTCTGATTTTAAAGTTTCAGTTGACTGATTTTTTTTTTAAGCACACTTCCATCTGATAACCGCTGATAATAATTTTCCCTCATTCCTTTCAATGAGTATAAAGCTGGTAATTTTATCAGTCTCTCTATTATTTTAAAGTGTTGTTCTCAGATATTGAATCTGATAATGTAAGTTACTGACTGTCCCTTTTCCCAGCAAAATAAATCAGTTCTCACTTTGAATTATCAAGGCTTTGTGGGTTCTTGAAGCATTTTGCTTAGTTAGTCTAATGGTAATACTGTTAAAGTCACAAAGATCTAAGGATATACAGAAGATAAACCTGCAGGGAGAAATGTTTTGTTCAGTTCCTTTGATTAGAACAAGTGATGTATTTAAAGGAGTTTAAAAAGTGACAGTTTTTGAAACACAGCAGCCTTTATGCATCCTTCAATCCTGGAGGTAGAGTGCCCTCTTTTGGTTTGAAAATATAGCATAACTCAAGTAATCACTACGAAGTAAGTTTAACTGAAGAAATAAAACTTTTACAGTAAAGTTTTCTCATGTTGTGTAGTAAAAAAAATTACAATTTTATACTTTTTATTATTTTTTTGTATCATCTAGCTAAGGAATGAGATTCATATTTTCATAAAAGTGGTGGATTACTTGTAGTGGCCATCAATTTAAAATCTAAGGTAGCAAATGTTATTTATAAATAAGAGAGAATTCTGGAGTTCTGATTGAAAATTCTAACATCCATGAGCTAATTATTGTTTCTACCACTAATAAAGTCTATTACTTTTATGTAAGTAATGTTATAATTAATGACATCTTCAGCAAAAGCTGGATCACATGCTGCTTACTGGATCAGGAATTACTAGTGATTAAAGTCACTCCAGATAATTTCAGTTCACCATTTGTTATATATGTGATCCCCCAGGAGCAAATGACAGTTTTATGAGTCTTCATTGTTCATGCCTGATGGAGCTCTTGCTCCTTGATGTCTTCACATCATGTGGCTGTGCACCGAGGAATGTGCCATTGTTGCCATTTCCCTGCAAGGATGCTCTTAGCAAAGGGTCTCACTCATGTCTGTGAGCTAGTCAAGCATTTTCATCATTGCTCAGGTCTCTAGCAGGAAAAGTGCAAAAAATTTTTTGTGAGGTGTAAGAGTTGACCATGTGCCTGCCCTTGTACACGTTTTCAAGCTTCCCCTAGTGTTTGTTTTGTGGCTGAAGTGTGCTTTAGTGCAGTGGGCCCGTGCACCACCTGCCTCCTGGACCCTGGGAGGCTGAGAACACTTGGCAATCTGTAGGAATGGGCCTGTTGGCATCTCTGTGTGATTGTCCTCAACATTTGTGAAGAGTTATCTGAATGTGTCACCTGCAACAGGAGAGGGTGAACTCATGGTAGGGTTTGAGATGCAGGAGGAACTTGCTGTGTCGCTTGGCATGCGTGCTGATACATTAGCTGGGAATTGACTTCATTCCTGACTTGCATTTGCATGAGTTTATGTAAACACAGTGTTATACAGGCATAAGTAACTGATCTTTAGTTGCTACTAAATGATCTCTGGATTTGTTTTCCCTCCTTCATAGGCAGACATGAAACAGTTGGTGCAAAGCTCTTGGAATCTTACCAGAGTCTGAGGTAAGACTCATAAAAGGGCAAACAGTCCTAGGACACTGTGAACCTATTGTATGTTTGACATATTTTATGTTATAAACCAAACAGTAGTTTGTATTCTTTTATTATGAAAAAAAAAATCAATACTTTTGGAGTTCAAATGATAAAAGCATAGAAAAATTTTTACTTTTAGCTGTCAGCAATCCACAGAACAGGTCTCATATACAACAGAGTAAGTACTATGTTTGAAGTAATAGAATCTTATTTGAAATGAGGGGACAACATGCATTATCTTTATCTGCTTATATTTTTTGCATAACTATTTATACAATTATCTGTTAAATTTTCAAAATACTTTTAAATTATTGTAAATGAGAGTTCTTCACTATATGTAATAACAGCATCATCATTTGTTCAATAGGAGATATTGCTGATATGATACTTTTACAATAAATAATAGGCAAGAAGTTAGACACTTTCATGTACCAAACTAAAAAAAAATAAATTCTAGTTTTCAGTGAATAAATATTTTGACTGGAGGGCAAAGCATGACCATACTTAAGTTATTACCAGTGATACATAATGAAGCAATAGTCTGCTTATTATGTTATTAAAGGAACCCTCTGCCTTAAAATAAACCAAACCAAAAACCACAACACCAAACAGCAACAGCAACAACTACTACCAAAACCCAAACCAAACAAAGAAAAATACAACCCCAAAAGCCCTGTGTAAAATAAGATATGAAGAGATGATCTCAGTTTAATATAATTGTCTGGCAAGGCACAGCTGCCTAAGAAAGAAACTTATACTCAGCTGGATAAGATCCTAACCAAGACTCACTTTAGGTGGTAAAAACTAATCAAGAAGGAAGTTCATCAGGTACCTTAGGATCTGTGATTGTACAGTGATAACAGAATCAGATTATTATTTATTTTTTTTCACAGACCAGGAGTATTTATCACAGACGGAATGGCAGGAATGTTTAAATGGTCTTTAACAGCTCTGAACCCAGGCAAAGAAGGATCCTTTTAGTATTGTAAATAAAGATGACTGTTTTCTGAAAACATCTCTGAACAAGACATGGGGTACATTTTAAAGGAATTGTTTTAGAACTTAGGGCACAGACTGTAATACTGCCAGCCATGTAGAAGTCTAGGGAGCCTATCCTAAATTAGATCTTCCAGATAGTTCTAATTTAATAATTTTACCTGGAGCACCCCAAGATTGAGAAGGTAGAAAGGTAGTCCTAATTTCTTGGCATAATATATTAATTATTGCACTGTTTATCTCTTATATTTCTAGTAAAATTTCTGTCGTACCTCCAACTCCACCTCCTTTCACAGAATCAGCAGCAGGAACCAATGTGATGGGAAATGTATGTATCTGTAAAATATACATGTATGTGCACTGCTTAGTGTGTCATTCATATGAAAAGGTCAGCCACAGAAATGTGGTAAATAACTGCTGTAACATCACTCTGCAATATAAATGTAACTTTTTTATTACTTTGTCATTAATTTTATGGAGCATAGGTACTGGTAGAGAAAGTTTAAAAGCTATGAGGGCTGTTTTCAATTAGTTTTCAGTTTTTGAGGGAAGTGGTTAACCACTCTACTTGACATTAGAATGTTGGATCTGGTTTTTGGTGCCTCATCACAGGAAGTCTGGACTGAGATCTGAGTTCCACTCAGACCTGAAGGATCCCATGACATTCAGTAGTCACGTGTCACTTTTGATTACTGAATGAGAAACACTGAATTTGATGGCTACCTTTGCATTGCAGTTTCTAGTGGACAGAATAGTAGAACATGGCTTGAAATTCACAGAAATTGCACTAAATTACTGTTTCATTTAATTTTGGACTGGATCCTCAGGCCCTGGTTTTGAAGCCCACTGCAGTTCTGTAATAGATAAAAGTATTAAATACCTTACAACAAATCAGTGATGTAATTAGCTGTATTTATGAACTTACTATGTGATCTTTCTGTGAGGAGTTCCACTTATATGTGAAAGGCCATGGAATAGAAAAGACTACTTTCCATCTTGGTCCATTAGTGTGGTAGTTTCCAACTAAGTCAATGTATGTCCTCAGGTGTATTTGTCTACAGAAGTGAGTGAAGGGCTGCAGCCTTACCATCTGATTGTTATGTGGTCTGTAGATATGTAATCATGGAAACTTTAAAATTACAAATATCTTGTGTTTTCTTACTCTTTGCATCTCCCATTTGCAGGAACTTGGAGAGTCCAAAAGGTTTAATAAATCTGTTGAAAACTTGTTCTTGTCTCTCACAACACATATAAAAAGTAAGTAGCTTTTGCTGTCTTGTCATTCCAGAATAATGTCATCAAATATTTCAATTTTTTGGCCAGTGTTGACCACGAGTCATTATAAAAAAAGGCTATTGAGTAATGGCAGAAATTATTAATGCCAAAGCCGAGCCAATCTGAAAAATAATACAAGAAGTCTAATTCTCCTTCAGTATTCTGAGAGTTGTTAAATAAACTGATTATATAAAACCAGAACACTTTTCATGTAAAGATGGAAAATACTGCAAAATGTTTCTTTTTAAATTTACCAGGTGTTCAGATGGAGTATATTTAATTCATGATAGAGTAATAACCAATTTCTGATCTTTGTGTTATCTAGCCGGACCCCAGTCGAAGAGTCTATCACTTAACAGGAGTTTAATATTTTTGTTCACTGTCACTATTCATGAAGACTTCCTTCCTCTTTCTCAATCTAGTTGTGTGCAATTTTTCAGTGCATGTTTCTAAGTGCTCTCCAGTCCTAACAATTCCTGTTCTGTTCTGATGCTTTTGGTTCCTCCCATTCTCTTATGCTGCTCGCTGTTCCTACGGATGCAGACTGTGAGTGCACCTCTGAGGGTAACACCACTGAAGACAGTCTTTGTGAAAAACAAATTAAAGGCATCAGTGACCAGAGGAAAACAACTTCTGAGCCTTAAGAAGATTACAGGGGCTTGCAAATTTGCATGGATTTGAACAAACCATAGTGTTTTCTTACTAGCTTCAACTTGCGCAACCCCACATGTGAGATTAATCCTGAACAAATCTGGCTTCAGTGCCTTTCTGCCTTTCCCCCTAACTCTTGTTTTAGCTTTGTTTGGTCTTTCCTTTAGCTTCTTCCACCCATCTTAAAGACCTCTTCTCCTTTAACTATGCAAATTAAATATTGTGTCTGTAAGAACACATATTAAAGTTATGCAGAGACGTGGTGACATCCTCCTAAACAGAAGCATACAATGGTGTAAGACACTGGAAGCAGTAATAGCGCCAGCACAGAACAGGATGCAAAGTAATTTATTCAACTTTCTGTTAGTTTGAAGCCTGGCCATATCTCAGAGTTATAGGTAAAGACTGTCAGGACTGCAGCAAACTAATTTATTAATTCCCTGCTACCAAAAGGAAGGTCCTACTCCACTCACATCTTTCTTTTCTCTCCTCTCTGTTTTGACCCTTATGCTGCTATGATTAGCATCTGGAACCCTCTGGAAACTGGTTTAGCTAATTTAAAGGGCAGAACATTAACCTAGACAAAACACATAGGTACTTCTTTGCTGTTTTAGTGAGTTAAATGGCCTCAAGGTAAGATATATGTTGGAACATGTACAACAGAGTGCTGGTCCACATGATCAGGAGCTATGTCAGGGATGGAGAAGAGCAGAACAGAGGTTTCAAAGGGAGATAGAAGCAAGTTGTCAGTTCAGTTCAATTAAAGGTGAAGCCCTACTCAGGTGCTCTTGTCCTCAGTTACTGTGGAGCAGTTTAATTTGGGAGAAAATAATAGGCTATTGCAATCATTGAAATGAGTAGTTAAAAAGTGTAGGAAGTCTTACAGAGGGAGTCTTGGGTTTCTTTGCTCAAGAAAGCAGCTTTTTCAGACAATATGGCCTCTCAATTAAGCTTGCTACCATGCTGATAAACATTTTTGATCACAAGATCCAAAGTTAGTACTCTGTATCTTATCTAGATAAGTGTCCTGGTTTGCAGAGGTATTTAATACACCCAGCTCTTGTGTATTGCAGTAAATAAACCTGGAGAACCTTGTCCTGCCACTGACTCTCTCACTGGAGCCAGTGTGTGTGCGTGTCTGAGAGCAGTGGGAACGAGGGATCAGCGCGTGCAGCACAAAGCTGCTATTGTGCAGTCTGCTCCTTTCTGCTGTTACCTCCTGTTCCAGTGTGCCTTGGCAGTGAGAGGAGATTATAATCCAATAGTGGCCATTTGGTGAATGTAAAATGAATTACTGGTTGTAGTTTTATTTGCAGTGAAAAATTGCCCTTGGCACTAGAGAGAGTGTCAGTCTTAGTGATATTTGGGTAGAGAAGCCAAAAGAGGAATAGATATGGAAATGGAACATTTGTGTTTTCTCACACAATAACCTGTTCTGTAACCTGTTCCTTGTAAGAGAGTGTGAGGCAAGGTTGGTGGTTTTGCCTCTACTGCTGGTCTAGCTACTCAGATTGTATCTATTCCATTAGAACTCTCAATTCCAGTCTCTTTTATGATCTCTGATTTCACTGTGTATGTTAAAAACCTGGTTTCATTTACAGAGATGGCTTAATTGAGCCTGCCTTTGAATAGGTCACATGGTGCCTTAATGGTGTACACAGAGTACAGTAAACATCTGAGGACTGATTGCTGCTAAGAACAAACCTAACCCAGAGTGTCTTTAAAAAATCACACTTGAGTGCAATTGTTTTTTGAATACCATAATGTTATGTTGTCTAAGGTTCCTCCACAGAGGTTCATCTTGTGAGAGAAGTGTTTATTTCTTCTGTATGAATTAAACATATGATAGCTATTTCATGTACTACTTATAAATTTTTAATTCATCATGAGAGTCTGTCTGGAATTGACAACAAAGTATCTGCAGTTAAGCCTGCTCATATTCAACTTCAGAAATCATGGATGAGTGCTGCCCTTCCCTTTAAGTGAAATTCTGAGTGTACACTGAGGAATAAGAAGTGAAAAGTGGGGCATTAAATGTCCAGTTGTCCTGTAGATTTACTACATGTTACTGAAGTGCTAATTCAACAAGGAGCTTAAGTATAGACATAAATTTATCCATATGAGTAATGTTACTGAAGTCAATGAGGGCTATTCAGGTTCTTAAAATTATATATGGTTTGGGACCAGAGTATTTAATATCCCTCTTTTATCCATATTTTTGATACATTTCTAAATATTTTCCAATGTGATCTTCTTTCTACTTTTCACTGTCGTATTTTTATAATGATTTTGCTTTTATCCTGAACCAAACCAAACCGCTTTACAAATCAAACTATACATAGGGACTGTAGTAGCTGCTTCTGAGAGGAAACTATATTTGATGGCCTACAATTCCTTGCAGCAGCTATAATGATAGGCAGCAAGGAGTATAATTTCCAGTTGAAACAGCATGAAAGATTTAGGCAGGCAAAATATAATTATATACAATATGACAACCACTTGTCTTCCCATCTGTTTCTTACTCTTAGGAGATCAATGCTAAAGGTGCAGGATGACAGTTTGAAAGCTACAGAATTAGCCTGTAAATCTATAGGATTGCTTACAAAGTTTGTTATAGTGACTTTTCTCTTTATTTTCAATTCAGAAATATCAAAGTCCCAGAATGATATGGCTGACAGATGTGTCCTAACCACAGATTGTGGGAAGAATGTGGAAAGAAGAAAGCAAAGAAGAAGCCAGTCTGACACTGCAATCAACATTACAAGCAGGGTATCCATATTATTATATGCAGTCTCTAGCTGTAAGAGCTGTTTCAGAGTGAAATAGATTTGTGAGAACCATCATGTGCACAGTGGAATTTTGCTTTTATTTTATGAACAGGACATAGCTGGTCTTCACTGACTGTGTTCAGAACTCTGATTCTTCACAAGGTTTTTGACAGATTCTGCACAATTGATGCCAGCCCAGAGTTGAAAAGTTAGATGGAGATTTTTACAAAGGGAGGGAAGGATGGCAAGGATGGGACATTTTGCTCTCAGGTGCTCACAGATTCTCTTGAATTGATACCTGGTCTGTGTGATTATTGGGCTGCAGGAAAGTCTTCTGTCTTGTCTTCTTCCTGCTCTTTTGCTGCTGAGCAGGACCAGCTATGACCATCCCAAACCTATCCTGATGTTTTCTGAGTATTTTTTAAATTGGCAGAAACAAAGCATTGCTATTAGTTGCTATGCAACTTCCCTTTTCCTTTGCTTTGGTTACAGTCTCTAGCTTTCAGTGTTTTCTTGAGAAAAATCCAGTCATCTGATTTCCTACAAATTGTGCAGGGTTGAAGATGATCTCACATTTCTGCTTTAGAATTATACTGAAGATTTTGTTTTGTACACTTTCAGCTGTCAAGTGACTGAACTTTGTCCATACTCATTTTTCCACATTGTGGGTACTTACTGAATTGCCTTGTTCATCTGAATGAGGTCAGTGTGGTTTGCTAAGTGCCTGGATTAGATGCTGAGAAAAGCCCTTGCTTTGGGCCAGACTTTGTGGCACACATTGCTCACAGCTCCCTTGAGCACATTTTACTTTCCTCAGAAGCGTTAGGCGCTGATATATGGAAGACACAGGATGTCAAATTGCATGGACTGGGCAGTTTGAATTAGTCCATCAAGGTCTGAGAGCTCTGTGAAATTAAATCTGGTATTTTGTATGAAATCAGATTATCGATAGAATTGGCAGCAATTATTGGTTACCTGGGTGCTGCTTTCATTGTGGCAAGACACACTTTGGTGTTAACTTTATTCCACAGGCAGAGAGAGCACTGCTTTCCTAATTCATTGAAAAACATCACAGTTGCAGACAATGGGAATTCAGACTATGCTTCATTGCATGCTGATCACAAACAATCTGCCTGTTTAAAAAAGATGGATATGGATTCTTTGGCTTCACAAATTAATTAGTAGGAGTAGAATCCAAAGAGTAGGAGAATCCAAATTATTTGTGTGGGTTTTTAGTTGCCTGTTTAAAGATTTAGGACTTACATCCACACATTGCATTGCAGGTTTTGGAAAATAGATTTCAATGTTTGTGTGCCAGAGCACTAGATCTCTGAGTCATTTGGACCAACTGGACTATATTTAAGCTAGAATTTAGTTTTTAATAAATTAAAAATTAAATTTATTAATTTAATTTTAGTTTTGCTGGAATTACTGTTGATTTTTTTTCCCTGTAATTGTCCTTCAACTTTGTTTTCCTTTAGGAAGGGTTTACATCCTTACTAGAACTATGCCTTAAGTTATGGGACAGAACCTGTTCTAAATTGCACTTACAAAACAACCAATTATGTTTATAAGAACACATCATGTTGAAATCTTAGTTGTTATGATTTCCACCCTAAAAAGAACTTTTATTTTCAGAGCATGAATCCAAACAGTGGCTTTTCCCCCTTGAAACTCAATTTTTCTCTAAGGAATGACTGTGAGGTAGTAACTGTAACCACAAGTTTGAATGTGCAGTGTTTAAGACTGCTTAAGGGCACTACTTAAGCCTCAAGAATGCTATCTGTTTCTTAAGTAAGTTTTCTTAATTTGTGATGTGTGCAGAGCTTGATTCCTTCTGATTAAAGTTGAGAGAGATTATACTTCAGTATTAGTGAAAAAATCAAGTCCAATGGCAAGAAGTAGCAGCCAGTGTAAAATCTGGGTTTTGATGGCCTCTCATCATCAGAATCCCTAAGATTATTAAAGGGAAGTGCAGTTATCACTGCCTTACTGGAGGAACAAGCAGGCATGTGCCGCGTTTGGGAGTTTTTGTGGTGCATTGGTAGCTGTGGGATACCTCTCCAGGGGCAACAGAAGCAGACATTAGGGCTGGGCTTGTGTGACCTGCTGCTGAGTTTAGCCCTGGTAGCTGTGTTGCCTTGTCAGTCTTTTATGTTCTGTACTGCCCAACAATGAAATCTTTCTGATCCAAGTAAAAGATAAAATTCAGTGTGCTGTAACTTGTTTTGGTTTGCAAGTGAAATTGGTTGTGCTTTAGGTTTTATAAAGCAGAAGACAGTTTCTCTGCTGGGAAATACTATTTTGGGTTTGCTTGGGGTTTTTTTGAGACTATATTCTGAATTACTCTTTTGTCTGTTTCCCTCTCACAAGATAACTTAATTCTTGCATCTATTCTTAAGGCAGGGCATTTAATAGACATCACAATTTCTGTGGTAACAGCATGCTGGTTAGGATTTTGCACATCCTGTTTTTTTCAGTAGTCTCACTGTATTATCTCATCTCTTGTCCTCATTCTCTAGTGCTTTCTGCTGACTGTGCAGGAGGGTTTGTCTCACATTTCCTGTTAGCTTTGTGCAAATAAGTCCTAATCCTTTTTAATGATTCAGTCACACTATATCCTTTTTCGTCTTCCAGGTAATCTGTTACACAACTTCTTAAAATAAATTTTCTTTGATCCTAACCATGCAGAATTTTTTACCTGGCTTTTTTCCTATCCACTGAGGTGTCAACATATTTTTCATAGATTATATTATCCCCAGGAAGTAGTGTGCCAGAAACACCAATATTTTTGGTTTACATATTTCCAGCCCTATGTATTTGTATTTTGGCACTTCATTCTATTAGCTTTTGTTCTTGGTAACAGAGGTGGCTGAAGATAAATCTCAAGCAGTTCTGATTGATGCATATAACTCTCTCAGAAATTTTTAGGCTTTTCATGGGAAAATTGGAAAGGGAAATGGACTTAGTCAAAGCAAAGTCAAGAACACCTTGGAAATTTAAACTTTTTCTATAAACAAAGCTCAATAGGAGCTTATCAGTCTGCTTCTGTTTTCAAATCTCTTTCAACTTATGTTCATTCTTGCATAGGTAAATATGGGCATGTGTCAGGCATATTGCAAAATACAGATTTTAATTTCCTGGAGGCAAGATTTTATTTTCTTCCAAAATTATTGGTTTTTTTAAGGCCTAATAAGGACTTCTATAAATATATTGCTATTTTTGGTGTGTTATTAGTAGACTGCTGTAAGTAATTACTACAGTTGTGAACCTTAGATTAGCTGGTGGTATGCTGATTTAAAAAAAAAAAATTAAGATAATGAAGGTACCACTAACTGGGTTGAGAGAGTTAGAAATCAACATTTAAATTAAATTATTGTCTTTGAAGGTGTGCCACCTGCATGACCTTAATCAGAGTCCGTTGTAGATATTTACTGAATTTTCTTTTGATAGCATTCTTGAATCAGGACATTTTTCTTAAATTGAAAAAAAAATATATAAAAATTACTCTGAATTTCTTGCAGGTGAAAGGTGCAGCCAGTCTGCAACAGCTCATCACTGAGGCCCAAAATGACAGTGAAACTCAGAGCAAAAGTAGTTGGAAGGAGGAAGAAGACATAACAACCAGTCCCACAAGTGATACAGTTTTCTGTGATGGCAGAAAACATGTAAGTTAAAGGTGAAGCACAACAGTAGAGGTGTTTAAAGGGAATAGATATAAAAGCTTGTGCAGAATGTTGGTGTATTTTGGATTATATTACAAAATGAAGGAAGAATTGTACTTGAGTTTGTATCTGATGAAAGACTGATGCCTTTGGCGCAGTCCTGATAGTAACACTGTGAACTTTTTGAAGCATAAGGCAAATTAATAATGGATAATTGATGGAGATATCATCCACTGTTAATGAATAATTGATAGAGCAGCTTCTTCTGAATTTTGCAAATGCAGCTAACGTTTTCCCCTTTTGATTATTAGGATCCAGATTATGAATGCAGTGCTTTCTCACCTAATATCTGACTTTTTCTCTTCAAGCTTCCTTTACCAGAAGGGTTTTGTCAGTCTGCAAGATCTCTGTGGGATTGGAAATGTCAGTGGAAATTCAAATGTCAGAATGCCAGTGAAGGAATAGGAAACTGACAGTGATGGAAGCCAGGGGAGCAGTTCATAGGCTTAGGGGATGACATTGAATCATTATGCCTGGATGGCATTTTGAATACTACAAATGAGAGAGAAGGAAGCTGGTTATAAATTAATTCAGCACATGTTTTAAAGCCTCTATGATTAACTGTGGTAGCTAATTTCTATCTGTCAGTGATGAGGTTAAGCAAGGTGAAGTATCCAAAGAATTCATGACTGATTTTGTAAAGAACAGAGCTAAAATGACTAAAAATCCAAATTAAACCAGTCTGCTCACTTGACAGAAAAGCAGAAACAGCAGGGACCGTGGTGCCTTCTTAGTTCATTGCACTGTGGAGTCTGAGGTGTTAAGCTGACAAATGGAAAACAGTTTTGTATTACATTTGTGATTCCAGTGACAACCATTTGAGATGGGCTATAGAAAGCTCAGGCTTAAAATTGAAATATTTTCCACTATCTTATAAAGGTGAAGGTCAAATTCCGTAAAACTTCTCTTTGTGGGTAATTGTAAGATGTTGAAGGCCACTCCATAAAAAATTTATCCTTCAGACATCAAATGGCATTGCTTCCAGTCATGCCAGCAGAAGTACAATATGTTAAGTCATTGCTAAATCCCTGCTCACTGAACCAAAAGTGGGGACTTCCACAAAGAATGTATGGGATGCCTGATAAGGTGGGAGACACATGTAGTGATGTTCTGTCCAAACATCATTAATCATAACACCTATTCAACCTTCCTAAATAAATAGGGTGTTCTGTGGAATAAATATGAGGAACTTTCACTGAACTTTGTTTTAGGACATTGGAGCTTACGACAAAACTATTTTCATTCCATTGCCGTAAGGGATTTTGGGGGAAAATAAGCATTTTCTGGTCTGGTGAACAAAAATGTTAGGGAATGAAAGCTGCAAATTAGATTGATTACACTGATGCACTTCTTGTGGAGGGAGCAAGATAATTTGCAACAAGCATCAGGTCAAAATTGTCCTTACACTTCTTTTGACTTCCACAGTAAGCACTCTAACCCTTCTTTTGACACGTGTGTGTTGCTTAGAGTTTAAAGGAGTAGATAGCTTCTTTAATTTAATAAATACATTGGTGTGAACTGAATATTGGCAAGGAAGAAAAGCATTTCCACAGAAGAGAGATATGATCTTGCAAACACTGCTTTGCACTCGTAGCTGCTGGGTTGTGCAATGCAGAACTCCTTCATCAACCAGTCCTGTGTGGTGTTTATTTTCAGGAGGAGGAGTGATCTAACACAGATATCTCAGCAATCTAGGGCAGTGTTGCTGAGAGACTGATCACAACAGTGGTGCCTTCGTGACAAATGCTGTGTAAAAAGTTTCTAGGGTTCACCTTAAAGAATATCATTATATAAATGAATGGAGATCAAACCGTTCTGAGTTGATAATTTGTTACAGTTAAGGCAAGATTGCACCCTAGAGTTAAGTGCCTGGGCTAGGCCACACAAAGGATTGGTCTCTTCCTTCTTTGCAGTGTCCTGCCTTCTGTAAATGCTAGATACAAGTGCTCTTTATATGTGTGGATGGAGCTTATATAAAGCATCCAAACCTTTGCCCCAAAGGTGGAAGTAAATGAAGGGAGAACAAAGTGGTTGAGGTGATCTAGGGAACGTCATCTTTATGCACCCACATACAACAGCTGGGGGTATTCAGGTTTTAATCTCTCCTGAATGGTCTGCAATACAGAGTACATCATTTTTATATAGAATTGGGACAACTTGTAAGCTATTTACTGGGTGTGCAGGGCACTGTGGTATTTCCCCTAGTAGATGCTAGAACCAAATGTCTTGGTAGTGTACCCTACTATGAGCTATGTATTAAATTCAATGTTTTATTAATATTTTATTTAATTCAATATGTATTAATTAATTTTTTTAAATGTTTATAGATTTCAGAGGGTATTTTCATTCCCTTTCAGACACTTAGCCCATTTTTCTTGTGGGAAGAAACACAGCAGTTCTGTATGAAAACAGTTTCTAGATCCAGAAGTTACTTAAAGCATTTTCTCGGCCTAGAAAGTTTACTGAGAGAAGAGGGCAAAGCAGTAGAATTGCAATTACAGATATGATTTTCAGGGATGTTATGGAAGCAATGGAATATTTTATACAGATTACCCTAAATTTCGTGACTTGCAGTAGCTTTACGGTGATGTCTGTAAATATAGTGACTATTGAGGGAAATAAATGTTTTGTCCTGTTTGATCTGAAGCTGCTTTTACTGAACATTTGTCTTTTCTTAGGGGAGTTTGTATAGTCTTAGCAGCACTTGCACTGAGTCTGGCAATTTTGGCAAGGCTAACATCACAGGAGAAATAGAGTTTGCCTTAAAGTACAACTTCAGAGCTTGCATCTTGGAAGTTTGCATCAAGGGATGCAAGAACCTGGCTTATGGAGAAGAGAAGAAGAAAAAGTGTAACCCGTAAGTATTTCTGTAGAGAAGAACAAACATAAGGAAAATATTCTGGTTTTTACAATACTTACAAATGTTCTGAGTGAAATGGATTGATATATGATTGTATGCCATGCTGGCACCTTCAGAACATCCAACATACATGCCAACCCTTTGCACTTATACACATTGCATGACAAATAAGTTTCATACCAGTTCTTATTCCATTATGACCATTTTCTGCTAGGAATTATCTTTCCCTGCCTGTGAGCAGGCAGTTGGGCATATGTGTTGCTGGTGAGTTACCTTTGGGCCCCAGGAATAGCCATTCAGTTTTTAGTTCTTAAGTTGTGGCTGGAACATGAGATGTCCTGTTTCTAATTCACCTGATGACAAATTGTGGGTGAGTGCGTGGTTGCTATCCTACTGGGTGCTTCCATCTTCTGTGATAAAAGCAAAAATTTCAGCTGCTACAATGTATTTTAAATTCTAAAGCTGTTTAATAATTATGCACCGTTTTAAGAGGAAGTAGTAGATATTTCTGTGCATAAAATATGCCATAGAAAATTTTGGTTGGATAATTAAACCTCGGTGATTTCTGTTTATCACTAAAGAGTCCTCTTTGACCATGCAGCAACCACTGATAGAAAATCACCAGGTAGAATCCCTGGCTACTTGTTCTTGCCCCTGCTGTCTCACTGTGTTTGAGCATTTGAACGCCCACATTGGAATCATGGACTTGCAGTCACCTTCACCCAGCAGGACAATGGATTTTGTGCAGATCTTGCAGAGAATATTCATAAAGACAAGCTTGGTGATGAGCAGTGCCTTGCTGGGAGAGCAGCCTGTGGAGAAGGGCTGTTTGGGAGCACTTCAGAAGTGGGTCAAGGTTCTCTCAGTCCCCTGGTAATTAAGCCAGGCAAACAGTTGCAGGAAGCCTGAAAGGCAATGTGGGAAGTGCTGTGTAGTAAAAATTATGTTCTCTATGGGTATATATTTATATATTTCTGTTGGTTTCCAAGCCAACTGAAAAAGTACAGCACACTTATTTGACATGCTTGCTGAAAATCAGGCTTTTAACTGTTGTTTAAAACCTGATTAATTATTTAACTTATTTTCTGGTTTGAAGTCTGGCTGGCTATGTTTTAATTAAAATGATCTGGGCTCACAGAACAAGAAGCTAAATTTTCTAGTGTCTGTATATTTTTAAAAGTAGCTTTACCTATGGATCAATTTGGAAAAAATAGGGAATATGTGTAAGCTCTGCACTGATGATATGAGATACAGCTGATTTTATTTACTCAGTAAGCTAATCAAGAGGCTGCTTTAAAATTAATTTAAATAATAATATCTGAAATATGTATAAGTACAGTTTAAAAATGCTTTGTATTATGTAAGCAGACACTCCTTTCCCTGACAAGCTGGAAGCACTCCCTGTTGCTGAAATTCTTTAGTTTTGAAGCCATAACACAAGTACAGCCCACTGAACTGATATAAAGGGAAATATTTAAGTATTAGTGTTCACTTGACCTACACTTGAGAAACTTAGGGTATGAATCATTGGTGCTTGATATTGGTCTGTCCCAGCTTCCAGAAAATTTTTTGCCTGTTTTTTCTTGAATCAATGTTAGGACAATTTTGAGCCCTTTAGACAATCTCCCATTTTCATTCCAGTGGCTGCTAGAATGATTAGCTTTTGTAAGACCTTTGAATTACTCTGTATTATTTACCTGATGTTGTGAAGATGAGATTTTCTTCATGAATGTTGGGGGACAAGTAGCACTGATTTGAAAGTTGATTGATTTTTTCTTTGAGCATATAATATGCTGTTTGTTTTCATCATAAAGCTGTCACTACAACTGAGTAGGCGACTTCTTTAGGGGGCTGTTTTATCAGGGGCCAAGAGTATGACAACAGCATTCCTATTCAGATGCTAATCCCTTCCCAAGTACAGTGGAATTGAAGCACATTAGCTGAATGGTACACAAGGATCCTTATAGTCCATCTGCTTCTATTGAGAAAATATGTAAATAATATTTTGCCATTTTATTGCATGGGAACTTACAAAGTCAGTGAAGTTGTTTGAGAATTAAGAGAAATGTCTTCTCATCTAATTGTTTTTTTTTCATTTGATCCTCCTTGCCCCTTCTGATCACTTTCCATGTATCTTTATCTCCGAGGTATGTGAAGGTTTATTTACTTCCTGATAAATCTCCTCAGAATAAGAGGAAGACAGCTGTGAAAAAGAGCACAGTGGATCCAGAGTTTGATGAGACTTTGAAGGTATGGTTAGCAATTCCATGCTGCTGAGTGTGCCTTTCCATGGTACAATCCTGCAAGTTCTGAACTGACCTGATATGGCAAATTTAGGAGTCACTGAAAATAATAATTAAAGAAATTATATTTTTTCAGTCTAAATAAGAAAGGGTTGCTTTTGGAGCTGCAACAGTAGATTGCAAACCATTAGAGAAGCCTGCCTTTGTCCAAGAAAGTACTTGGACAATACCAGTGTTGTTCTGATTTACCATATGGAAAAAGCAAAATGTCTTCCATAGATGCTTTCTCTCGTGCATTCAGAAACTTGATGCATTGCAGAACAGTTGGAGTTTTATACAAATATCCCTTCCAAGTGATACCTCTTTGGTCAGTGCCACTGGAAGTGTCTCTCTGCGGTTAACTGTGTGCCAATTGAAATCAACCATCTCTAAAACAGTGTCTGCTTCCTTTTCCCTCTGCAGCTGATGCCAGGCTGTTTCTTTGTACTGTTTAATTTCAAACATTAATAATCCCAGCAGAGAAAAGTAGTTATGATTTCAGCTCCTTAATGCCTTTCAGTATTGCGTCTTGCATCCTTGTTAGAATTGTGTATAGGAAACGGGAGTCATTATTCTTACCTCACAGACACTTCATTAAATATAAAGCTGAGTACTGTCAGCCAGGAGAGCCTGCATTAGTTTGGTTGTTCCCAGCTCCACTTCTGTACTCAGATCACTTCAAACCATTTCTTTTGTGTGCTTTGGTAAGCTGCAGTAGGACATAAGATGAGTTCTTCAGTAATATGTTGTCTTGGAGGAGATATGACAGAGTTGGTGAAGAGGCAAACTTGTGTTGCTTCTTGAACTACACAAAAGTTTTAGTGTTACCCCCAATTCTTGGTGTGTATGAACATCAAGAATTGGTAGTGAGTGGAACAAGCAAAATGCTTGATAAAACCATAGTTAAAGTTTGATAATAACATAAAAATATTTTTGTTATGTATGTGATTCTTATATGGCCCAAAGCCTTTCTATAGGGTTTAAGATGGCAGAAAAAAATGGCCAGAAGTTGAAATCACTGGTCCTAATTTTACAGTTCTTTTTCAATGCCTGTCATGCAGAAGTGATTAAAGGAGTGACAGCCATGCCTAAGTTGGCTGCATAAATACTAAAGGTGTGTACTTAGAAACTTTTAAAAATAGTTTATTAGTTTATCCAGAGTAGCAGAAATGGTCAAAAGTGCTTAGTGCTACTGCAGGTGAACTCCATCTAGACACTGAGATCCAACTGGGTGGGATTCAGCTGCAGGTTAAGGTAGCTGCACGGGAGAGAGAGCTGTGTAAGTGCTCTTGGAAGTCACTGGAACGCAGGGTGAGTCAGGGTGATCAGCCACAGAGCCCACACCCAGCTTGTGATTCAGCAGCCTAAATATGGGTACTGATTTCCTTGCCTGTGCCATTGCCTCCAGGTTTCCATGCAGGTCACCTGTGGGCTGGGTTTGCCAGTCTCAGGGGGTGTATTAGATACCCAGCAATGTCTCTAACTATGTTTGGAGAGTGGATCAAGGCTTTAATTAGTCATCAGCTGAATTACTTCCTTGCCCCTGCTGACTGCATTAAGTACATGTCCACTGACCAGAATGGGAATTTAAGAACCATCATTAGGTGTCTTCTTGAACTGGTTTCCAGAACAGCCACATTCTGCTGGGAGTGTAAACAGAAATATATATATGTGTGTGTATGTATATAAACACATGCACAAAACCCCCCCAAAAAAACAAAAACAACAAAACCCAACCCCCCAAAAAAACAACCCAAAAAAAAAAAAAAAGCCCAAACCCAAAACCCCTGCAAACCAAAAAATAACAACCCAAATCCCAAAAATGGTCAAATGTTATTTAAAGTTCTGAATTTATAATCAAAAACTTCAGCAAGGCAGGTCAAGGTATTCCCGGAATGTTGTTTCCTAGTTGAATGAGCATTATTCAGCATGTATAATATATAAGTAGTTGGGGTTTTTTGAGATTGCAAAGCACTCTCAGACAACATGGCTCTGTTTGCATCCAGAGGCCTTCAGTCATGCTGTGGCTGGACTTCCTGGGAACAGGTCATGAGTGTGGGCCTGCATTCATCCTGTGCATTGCTCTGTAAACGCTGTTTTTCCTTCTAGTACAAGATTGAATACTCCCAGCTGAGAAGTCGGCAACTTCAGATCTCTGTGTGGCATGCAGGAGCTCTCAAATACAGGGTGTTTTTGGGGGAAGTGATGATTCCCCTGGCAGCATGGAATTTTGAAGAGGACTCAATGCAGTTTGACTGGTACCCGCTCAAACCCAAGGTGACTCTAAGTTTTTGTGCTTATTTGTACCCTAAGAGCAAGATGTAGTGAAAGCCGTGAGAAAGATCACCCCTGTGAGATCATTGAGGGGAAAATGCTGTCAATGCAGCCCATTAGCAAGATGTGTTTGGAACACAAATAAGCTGTGAGAAGGATGTGAGAATAAGCTGTGGGAATGATTGCAGTAATGCAGACTTCTGTATGTCCCTGTCTTCAGCTTGAGAAGCCTGAAGATGATCTTATCCAGTACAGCGGTGAACTCCTCGTGTCTGCAAAACTGTCAGTACCAGCCCAGTATCAAAAACTTCAGTTTGAAGGTATAAAATGTTTTGGCATACATGAGTGCTGAACAGTTGCTCTCAATGGTCTTTAGAGGTCTTTTCCAACATAAATGATTCTATGATTCTGTGAATTCCTTGGCTAGAAAAGAATTGAGATGGATGAAGGACTGGTAAAATCCAGTATGGATTTTTAAACAGCTACAGCAAACAGTGTTTTTTGGTGTTTTATGTCTTAGATTATTTAAAATCAAAACATTTTGTATATTTGTTCTTTTTAATGCCAACAAAAGTTGTACATTATAATGGCAGCAGTACAATGCATCCAGCTGTTTTCCAAACTTGTGCCTGTTGTGATGTTACCAGTAGAGGTTATTCTGGAGGTGAAACAGCAGTTCTGCTGTACAAGACAGAGACTGCCAATTTGGGGAAAATTTGGAAGGGAAGTATCTGCAAGCATACCAGACCAGCACCCTTGGCTTCCTTCAGTGGTCTCATCTTAGGGAGATTGTTTCACTTGGAAGGTGTTAGGTTCAAAATGTTTAGTCAGGATTCAGTTTCTAGTAATGAGAACTTGTAAGGTACACTAAGTATTGCTGTAGTATGTCAGAACAAGCACCTGCTTGTGGAGTGAAATAAACACTTTGGGAAGGAGGGATAGCAAAACCTCCTTTTCCTTACCTCCCTGGACTTTAGTGAGGTGTACAGACATTCAGAACTCTAGAAATGCTCTCTGTCAGGACCACAGCAGCAGGTAGAGACCAATAGAAAGTTCTAACTTACTGTTTTGTTATTTTTGTTCCCTTTTCTTTTCCAAATGACCCCGAAGTTACCAAATCTGTATCTTTTGTTTTTCCTTCCTATGCATACCCTCTGCTCTGTGCCTTGAGCTCTGAGTGGAGCAGTATCACACCATGGGTTTGGCTCTCTCCCCTGCTTCTGACTGTTCCAGAGAAATGCTTCTGTATGTACTGCCCTGTGTTTGCTTTTCACAAACACAACAGAAAGCTTTGTCTTTGGAACAGGGATCACAAAGCAGCCTGCTACTCACTGCTTGGTTTGTGTGAATCATTCACTGTACAAACATTCAAATCTTTGAAATGTTCCTAGTCCAGCCTTATGACTCCTTATCTCAGTAGTGCCACTTAGGCATTCCCCTACTTACTTTTAGCAGCATCTTAAGCTATGAGCTGAGCTAACTGGGCATTTCATGTGATAAGTGCTCCTTTTTCAGGAAACAGAGACCAAGGAGCTCTCAACTGCCAGCTTCAGGTTATGATATTTGGGGCCAAGAACTTGCCCATGCTGAGATCTGCTGGAATGCTGAACTCCTTTGTTAAAGGGTATGTCTGAGACCTAACACTTCAAATAGAGACTGTCACATATGTTCTGTGCAAATGTACATACTAACATGTTTTCAGCAGGAGACTGGCATGGGAAAGTGGCATTGCCCACACTCTTAATCAGACTTCCTAGTAATGGTGACACTTGGGTGTCTGCAGAACAGCAGCAGTTTCCAGGGTAGTGATGGGTCCCACCTGCCCTATTGGTCCTGAATTTGAGATTTTAATTATGTCATTAGATGTAGAGTTCACTTGTTTAATTATGTGTTCTTAGATATTAGGGGAGAGGGGAAAAAATGTGAAAATAAAGACAGTGTCGTCACACTTTCAGCTGTGTCTTAGAAGAATTAAGTATAACTCTTGATACACTGAAAACTTTTATCCTCTTCATTCTTGACATTTTGAAAGAGAAGGAACAGAATTTTTCTTCAGTGGTGCTGAGTAGCTTGTATATGGGATTGTTTTACTTCCTTGCTGTCAGGCATCAGGTGCCACTGGAAAGATGATACTGGGGTAAACTTACATCTCATAAAGCCATTTCACCTGTTGTGGCACCCACTTTTGGTGAAATGGGCGAGCATTTCATCTCCTGAAAAGCAGGTTTCAGGGACCATTGGGTAGCAGCACGTGGAACAAAGGCTCCTTCAGCAGAGAGTGACAGCAGAGTCAAAGCAGGCTACAAGACCTGCACTAAAGGCTGGCAGGAAAAGGTGCAGGTCCCAAAATAAACACAAGGGCACCATGTTCTACTTTGCACTAAGGCTGAACTTGTTTTGCTTTTTAAGGCAAACCAAAGGGCTCCAGTTGGTTATTGAAAATGTTCTGTTTCCTGGTTGAGAAACCAGTAACCTTGCTGAACTCCTTTTTTGGTGGGGGGAAGTTGTCTTGTCCTTCCAGGCCAAACAGAGGTAAAGCAAAAGTCTTCTGTCCTGAAGAAAGAGGCCTGTCCACAGTGGAAACACTTGTTTGTCTTTGATGGTGTGACCCCAGCTCAGCTACAGCAATCATGTCTGCACCTGACTGTCTGGCACAAGTCAACTTTCAGCTCAAGTGATCAGTTCCTAGGAGGAGCCAAGCTTGGTGCAAGTAAGTTCTTTAACACTGAAAGTTGAAGGTAATTTGGGAAAAAGTGCATTTAGTTTACATACCAGGCAAAAATAATTACACTGTGCTATTTATTACCTGCTATCATGTGCCTACACATGCAGTCCCAGCCTCTGTCCTAAGCAACTTGCAGTCTTGGGCTCTGATCATGCAAGAACTGACACAGGTGCTTCTGTTCCCATCTGTGCAGAAGATCAAGGTTGTCAGTGGGAATTTTCAGGAAAGCCATTTGTTAGCACAGTGATTTTTATGGGTCAGAGCCATGCTAAGACAAGCACAGAAATGGTGTGGCTCTAACTCACACAGAGTTCCGCATATTTTTTAAAGACTTATTCCTTTTATTGTTTTCTATGAATTATGTTATTTTAAATAACTTCTCATCAAAAGGAAGCAGGAGAATTAATCATCTCATAGACTCCAACCTTGCTTATGTCTCTGCTTATTATTTTATGTCCTCAAATCAATCCAATCAATGAAATACAGAGGGTGAAACTTGCTCCAAAGGGCCTGTTGGAAGTTTGAAGTTTTGGGCTCTGCTCTGACAAAGTGAGCTTTCATTGCTCAGGGCTGAGCAATGTCTGAGAAACTCTCTGCTCACTGGTGATTGGGTAGGGAAGCATTGTGCCTTGAAGGCTGCCCAAAGGTTTCCCACCCTTGTTCTTCCCAGTGAGTTAAGTGCCATGGGTTTCAGTATTTGAGACCAAAGGGTCAAATGTTGTTTTGGTATCAGCATGCAGCTTTCAGGAGTATTATCACTAGTGGTAACTCAGTGTCATGCAGGCTTCCTCATGAACTTTTTTTGCTTATCCTAGCCAGCATTTGCCTTTCTGCTAAAGCAGGGACTATCTGCTTGTAAGTGATCCAAGTCCTAAACCTGGACTGAACTGAAGCAGGAGGCTTAGTGCCATTCTGCTATTATGAGCATGCACACTTGCTCTTCTGCTTTCAGTCATTCAGCCAAAAACTTTTTCTTTTCTGCAGGTTGCACTCTTCAGAGAGTGATCCCAGTTTAACAGGATGTAAATAATAGTTCAAAAGTATAAATACCATTTACTGCAATTAGTGCCTTAGGAGCTGCAGAACAGCTGAAATTACTGTAGAAGTGGGTGAATGGGCTGGCCAGAAGTTGAGTAAGGCCAAGTGAAAAGTAACTCTGATCTTTCCTTTTGCTTTCTTGCAGAGGAATTCTTTGGTGCTATGGACCTTGCTTCTCAGGGAATGCTCCAATGGCAGGAAGTGCTCTGCAACCCAAACATGTGGACAGACTTCACACTTGTACTGCATTCAAATAAGGAAAACTACAAATCATGAGAGATTATCAGGCAACAAATTTTCCTTTCCCATGTTTTAAACTGGAGTGGTACATACACTTCAGGTCTGGGAAAGGTATGCTGCAACAGCACCTATTCTAGTTTTTTTGGGGGGAATAGAATTACGCATTTGAATGTGTGTGACATTCTGAATGTTTTATTTCTTCAAAAGTTAAGGCTCAAGCCTGTGCCTCCAGCTGGAGTGTAAGGTTAGTATTATTTCTTCAGGAGAGACAGCCTCAGTTTGAGATGCATTATGCTGACTAAGCAACAGGAGCCAGACAATGTGCAGCTGTCCATTTCCAGGCCTAGAACTGTTTAATTTAAAGCCCAACTGGGAGTACTTCAGAGCAAATAACTGTTACAACATGAAAGTTACATTATTTCACTTTTACTTTGAGGTTTTAGGCAAGGAATTCAAAACCAGTTTATCTTTGTCTACTTGCTGCAAATGGGTGATGCTAATGCCCATGTGCTTCAGTGTTATCTACACTGCCACTTTATTTCATGTGGCCACATGGTCATCATTTTATTTGGCCATGTCTCTCAAATGTGTGCTATAGCATGATGCTTAGAAAGTTAAATGTATAAATGCTCTGTTAGTAGCTGGGTGGGACTGCAGCCAATGGAATAAGGGTGGGTATAACAAGTTCCTTCTTATCAGCTGCCACTGTAAGACAGAATTAACTGCTCTGATCTGTAGGATGTACAGCGCACGACAAAACCTTAGCTGAGTTTATAATTTCCTCATGTGGCCAAGCTTAGGGCCAAACTCCTGTGTCAGTTTGCCTTGCCTTGGATGTGGCCTTTACAGTCAGCAGAAACTTCTTGTGTACAACTGTAACTACTGCTGCTGTGTTATACTTTTAGTCCTTATTGCAAGTATTCCCCCTTCTTCCTTTCTAGGTCAGTGTGGCTCTTAGGGATTTGAGATTTAAAGACACAGGGACTCATAAGCTAAGCTCAGGAACTAAAAGAGCAGTAGCACAACTTATTCAAAATAAACCCCTCTCAAGAAACACTTCACTCCATCGCCTTTGTTACTTTGCAGATCTTTTATTTAGATGATTGCTGCTGCAAATAAAAAAAAAAAAACCCACACAAGATTAAACTCAAGTATAACGCAGCATAGATATTGTAAATGGAAGAGGTGACAACATACTGTATCTCACTTTCTAACAGATTTTCAAGGAAAAGTGGGGAGAGTGGGGGAAGGATGGTCACAGAAATGCTCTCTACTAGAGAGAATACAACTGTGATATAAACAAGCAGTCCCTTCATCTTTGGAGTCTGAAACTTTAAATCAAACATTTAAAAAAAATTAGAAAATTTGTTAGAAAAATAGGTGCAGTAAAATTGTATATATTGGATCATGTGTACATATAACAGTTTTCATTAAGTAAAAAAAATGATCTTTACAAATAATGCTTTATAGTAAATAATCAGCTGCACTGTATCAGACTACAGTCTCGTTTAGGCATTTTTACAGATGCAAGTCTTATTAAATCTGAAAAGTAACAAAATATACAGAGCAAAACTATTTCCCTTTAACTAGTACTGCAATTCACATATTGCATGTTTTATATATATATATATAAATACTACACTATAACTGATCAGTAATGAAGCTGGAATGCAAACACAGTGGTGTCTTAGATTCCAGGAGTATTTGCTACTTGTTACATGAAGAGGGTATCAGTGTCCCTATGCCACTTCTGAACCATCACTGCACAATTTCTCCAGTTGAGAACAGCAACCAGAAAATACCTAATTTCTACGCAAAGTAGTTCTGAGGTGTTGTCAGTTCTTTTGTGTGGGGGAGGCAGGGGCGGGGGAACATGGGCATCAAGACCAAGGGAAAAACAGGATCCACAACCACCTGTGCATGGATGTACAACATACATACAGGTGCTTGCACATCCTAAGTTCCACAACCTGTCTTCTCAGTTGTTACACTTTACACTGTAGCTAATAATACAAAGACATATGGCACAAAATTCACCCACAGATGCTTATCTTTTAGACCAGGCTGAATCCAGCACCTACACAGGACACACATCTTGAAATAGAAGCATGGCCTGTTAAAATTTGTCTTGCTTAAAGAGAGATGTGTCACAAGGCCTTTTGGCACAAAGCAAAGGCATGAGCAAGTTACCAGGATTTGTGGTATAATGAGTTTTAAGCTATACCAAATTTCACAGAAGATTCAGAATAAAAGGGAGATTCAAACACCTCTGGGTTTAGAGAACATTGCTTAGGTGTCATACAGTGACCCCTCCTCAGGAAAAAAACAAAAACAAACAACCAAAAAACCAATACAACAAAAACCCCAAAACAAGAACACAGCATTAAGATCTGCCTCTCCCACAGTCCTGTTTTCTTCTTACAAGCATCTTTACATTGCCTCGAACTCATCGATTCTCTGCTTGGTGTTGCCTTGCCGGATCTGCCGCAGCGTCTTGTACTTGTCCCGTCCCTGGCGCATGTTCTCCGAGTGGATGATATCGTTTTGGGTCCTCTTGTTCTCGTTTCGAGCCTGGGCCAGCTCATCTGTCAGTGCCTGCAGTACAAAGAACAATAAATACAGGTTATATGTCAGAAGCTCTCAGCTCCTGTCAGTTGTGTTCTTTGGGGAGAGCTGACAGTGGACATGGATGCCCAGACACAGCAGTGACATGGATGCGATCCGGGCTTTCCAAAACCATTATGGATGATTTAAGCAATCTCAAAGCTTGAGCTATGAGAGTAATCTTTATATACTTGCCTTTATTTCAATCTTCCTATGGGAACAGAAAACAAAGAGAAACTGTTGTGCTTTGTGTGTTTAACTAAGTGGTTAAAGGACCTGGTGTCCAGGACTGGTTGTTTCAATTCCTCTGTCTCCTCCGAGCAGTGCCTTACCCTCAGCTGGCTCTGCACTCGTGCGTTCTTCTCTGCCTCAGTAATGCGCTTCTCCTCGTTGCGGTCGTTCCTGATGCCCTCGCTGGAGAACTCAGCGCTGTAGGCAGAGTACTCAGAGCCCTCATCTTGCAAGTTGTCGTGGACGTGGTAATTCACTGGCTCATAGACAGGGGGTGGGGGTGGAGGTGGAGCAGTCATTACCAGGTGTAACTCCTCCTTGGTCTTTACCAGATCCTCCTGTGCTTCCCTGGCCTTTGGGAAAAGAGTGAAAAATACTTTAAATGCATTTCTTGCTTTAAATCAGCTTAAAGAATGTTTAAATGCTTATCTTCCTAGTTTTTTCAATCTACTATGAAAAGCAAGAGAGAATTAATGTCTGCAGCTGATGGTACTCTAATAATAGAGAACTTTTTTTTTTTTTTACTAGGGATGCTATCATTAGCCATTGTGTAATGTGCAGCAGGTCTGAACAAAGAATATTCACCCAATAAAACAGCCAAGGAAAAAGTTCTTTGGAAAGCTGCAGTTATTGTCATTCTGTTCTCCATTAGAAGAGCTTTTGGCTGAAGACACACAGGTTCCACAGAGTAAGAATCTGGGAATCTAATTTTGTATTTTTAGTGCAATTACACACAAGGCAGTCACTTTCCCTGCTGCTGCAGTGGTTCTGCCCCCGCTGTGTCTTACAGTGCACTGGGAGCAACAGCACTCTGAGACTTGTGTGGTTTGTCTTTGGTTTTAGTGCAGCAGTTTATTACCCTCTCCTGATCCAGGTACCAGGAAGCCAGTGACAACAGCACACACTCCTCGAAACAGATACCTGCAGTGTGGCTGCATTTGCAGCATCTTCTCTTGACTGATGCAGTTTTCAGACATTATATAATGAATTACATGATATATATCATATATCCCTTCCTCTCCAAGGCTCCGAGTTTTGATTGAAGGGTTGTTGGAAGAAAGGTGTTTTTGCAGATGTACTGCACATTGATCACAAGTTTGGTCTTCTTCACTGCTGTACAGATGTTCGTCTCCACATGTTTGAGAAGTCACACCGGGCTAAGCATCAGAGTACTCTCTGCTTAAGCACAGAACTTTAGAGCAACTTGTAAAGCAGATACTCACTCTGATTTGCCACTCTTCAACCTCACTCTCTTTACGTTTCCTTGCCTCTTCAAGAAGTGCTATCTTGGCTGTATATTCTGCTAGCTCTGTAGCCTGTTGAATAATAAAATGGGAATTATAAGGAATCTTTGAAAAAGCATCAACCCAAACAAAAAACCAAACACAACAAAAATATACTGTTAACAGAGACTGAACAGGAAACTAAGAACTAAAAAGCAGACTGCTTATGATAGAATCCAGTGCCATAATGATGGTCCAGTACTTCATTGCACTGTTTTTCCCTGGACATGATGGCTTTGCCTTACTCAAGGGCATAGTAACATGCCTGGGTATCTTGTCCTCAAAATAACTGGGTCTTACCAGTTGTTCCTGGCTCTTTATCTGGTCTATAGTTTGTCTCTCCAGCTCTTCCTTGGCCTGCAGAGCTGCCAAACGGTCAGCTTCCAGACGTTCTGCCTCCTCCTGGGCCCGTTTCCTCTCCTCCTCCAGCTGAATGGCTCTTTGGATCTGATCTGACAGCTCTGCGAAGAGACAGATCAATGTCTAGTCAAAGCTAAGGAATTTCAGTCTCTTAGGTAACTGCAGAAGTCACGACAGGACTTTACTCCAGCTTGTAATACTCCTTTCACTGTGCTCCTCCAAGTAATTATTTGCATAATACACCAAGTAACTGGATTCAGAAGTAGTCAGATGCATACTGTAATTAAATCTTCTGCAAGATGTTTGCACTGAAGTCTAACATTGACATGACTCTGCTGCCCTTAATTGACAGTTTGCTGTATGGACCAGATGTCGCTGGCTCAAATGTGTTCTTCTGTGCATTGAAACAGAAGATTCCATTTCACTGGGAAGATTTGTTCCCAAAGTATTTTTTTCTGTTAGGAGTTAGTAAAAAGTACTTGACGGCTGAACTCTTGCTCACTGCTGGAAGAGGCTGTGATATTTAAATCCTCCTGGCAAAAGAGGAAAACAGAGTTCCTGCCCTTTGGTTCCCAAATAAAATTTGCAGGTTTTATGCTGCCCTCATACTTTGGATGCACATTTAGAGATTTAGCTGTATAGGCAGACATTAGTAAGTCTTGCCAAGCGATCCCAGTGTCACCAGATTTAGGCAAGGCATGGGCAGCAACACATACGACCCCTCTATGGAACACAACACACAGTCTTGTCAGCCAGGACAAGTACTTTACCTTTCTCTGCTTTCTGAGTCTTCACTTCATACTCTTGTAGCCTCACCAGCAGCTCCTCCTTCTCCCTCAGCATTTGCTCTTTCTCCCTCTCAATTGTCTCTCTCCTCCTCTTTTCATCTTCTAGTTGTTTCCTGTTAGAAAAACATGTCATGCTGGAAAGCTCACTTTCAGACCCAAGCTGCTCCCAGACAAGAAAGCTGGCTGGGAATCTCTCCAGGCAGCTCAGTGGGAAAGTGGCTGCCACGAAACAGGAACCAGAAGACAGAAATAGGCTGTTCCTTCATCTCTTCTGAATTTCTGCTCAGTTTTAGATATCCCATTTCATAAAAGCATTTGTATTCTTGGTGGTTGCCACAGAAATTTAGAATACCAAATAGCTGCTAGACACAGAAAGGAAAAACAGGACTTGTACTGCAAAGCAGAGGGGGTGTAACCTTGTTACTTCTGCCATATGGAAGGCCAAGGAAGTGTGAAAACAACAGCACTGAGGGAATGGAGACAAACAATCCACAAGATCAGGAGAAAAGCAACATGATTTCATGAATCATATGCAACCTGCAGCCAGTGGTAGAATTGCTATTCATTTTTCTTTGCCTGTAAGAGATCTCCCAGTTCCTTCTTTCTTTACAGTGTACACATATGTGCTCCCTGTGAAGGCTTCCCCTTACTCCCAACCATCCCATGGCCTAGCACATAAATCAGATGCCAACACTCAAGAGTCAGGAAAACCCTTCTCCAGGTACACAACACCACACCGGAGCTTGCTGTGCCTTTTCTCACACATTTCCTTGCAGCCAGGAGAGCTGATGTGTGGGCACAGGGACAAGCAGGAAGAGCAACAGTTCCACTGCAGGACACCCCAAATCCCTTACCATACTCCAG